AAGGCAATCCAGTGTCTGTCATTCACATAAAATAGTTCACTTCCCGCATGACCACTGCGCCAAATGATGACTGGGCAGGTCTTTATCTCGCTAGTCTGACTCATTAATGTAGACAGCATTCGTTCCCCGAAAAAAAAGTGACAGGTTTGACAGGTTTCGAACCTAAAAAGTGACAGGTTTCGACCCTTACGGGCTTTATTCCCCAGAATCTTAGGTTTCGACCCTATAAAAGTGACAGGTTTTCCAGGTTTCGACCCTATTCCCCAGAAAAACTGACAGGTTTATATATATATGCAATTATCTTTCCCCAAACAGAACGACCCTATTTTAAGAAAATTCCACAATTTTAAAGATAGAAACCTAAGATAATAAAGATAAACTACTAAAAGCATCAAGGTTAGGTCCAGTTAGGTTTGGTTCCATTATCTTTAAAAAAGCTTATTAGTGAAACTTGACCTAACTGGACCTAACCCTGATGCTTTGTCACTATCTTAAAGATAATCGAAAATTATCTTAGACGTGTTTTAGCGTTTTTTAAGATAATCATTATCTTAGAAAATAATGGACCTGGAAGGGTGAAAGGTGCAATCGAACCTATTCTTCCAGGTTTATCACTAATTAGATAGGAAATAATTAGATGACAGTAACGATACTGTCCGTCCCTGTGAGGTTGTCAGTATCGTGGTGCAGCTCGTCCCTGTACCCTTGCTGTCCGTGCCTGTGAGGTTGTCGGCATCGTGGTGCAGCTCGTACCTGTACCCGTGCTTTCCGTCCCTGTGAGGTTGTCGGCATCGTGGTGCAGCTCGTACCTGTACCCTTGCGGACTGTTATGGTTTTTGTACCCTGCAAATTTCGAACCTAAAACTGACAGGTTTCGAACCTAAAAAGTGACAGGTTTCGACCCTTACGGGCTTTATTCCCCAGAATCTTAGGTTTCGACCCTAAAAAGTTCCAGGTTTCGACCCTATTCCCCAGAAAAAGTGACAGGTTTATATATATAGAAATTATCTTTCCCAAGAAAAAAACGAACCTATTTTAAGAAAATTCCACAATTTTAAAGATAGAAACCTAAGATAATAAAGATAAACTACTAAAAGCATCAAGGTTAGGTCCAGTTAGGTTTGGTTCCATTATCTTTAAAAAAGCTTATTAGTGAAACTTGACCTAACTGGACCTATAAAATTACTTGTAATTGCAACATTACTTATAATTGCAACATTACTTGTAATTGCAACATTACTTGTGATTGTAACATTACTTGTAATTGCGACATTACTTGTAATTGCAACATTACTTGTAATTGCAACATTACTTGTAATTGCAACATTGCATTTAATTGCAAAATTACTTGTAATTGCAATGGTCGTTGTCGATGCTGCACACTTGGATGAAGTCTTCTGGCTTCCTCGCCGTCTTCTCGATCACGTCCTGGTCGGGGGCGTAGCGTGCCCTGAGGTCCGACAAGTGGTTCGATCGGCTTTCGCTTATTTGGTATTTTAGTACCTCTGCGGACATCTCCTCTGCTGTCCCTTCCAGCCACATTCCTGAAATATCTGAAAGGCCAAATACACATTTATGGAAAGAATTGAAAAGCCACATAATTTTTGCAACATCTACAACATTAGGATTTTTTCTAAACTTTTTTCCCTAATTCCGTACTGTGTTTTCAAATTTTCAAGTTCATTTGAGTTTGAAAAGAAATAATGCAATTCACTCACCCACAGGGGTGTATGTTCCTGAAGCACAAGAAAGCTTCACTTCAGTTGAACTGATGTAGGTCTCTTTGTAAACTGTGCATAATAACAAATCAAGATTCAGTGACAAGTTGTATTGAGCCAAAAATGTCCCGAAAGTATTTTACAAATTTCATGTCAATAAGCTGTGGTTTCGACAATAAACTTCAAATCCATAATAAACCAGCAAATTTTGATCGGTTTAATAAGATACTGCCAGTTTAGGTGAAGAATCTTGACTCGATGAAAGGATATAACACATTAGGAATAATGTGCCATGCGGTTGAAAGTGCTTTGTAGGCATGAACTCGTGACCTCAAATTATTAGTGTCTAGCGCGATTTTACAGACGGGCTTTTAAGTTAATAACAAGCTAAGTTTGATGTGTTCCACCTACCGGTCGAAGTCGCAAAAACTCAAGACAATTAATGAAAACGGTAAAGCAACATTAATGGAAATTGCAACATTATTTGTAATTAATCAATTTGAAAAAAAAAATTTCGGCTACTACTAATGGTTATTCAAAGCATAATTTCCTATGACAAATCGTAAATTCCTCTAGAAATCCTACAAAATTTCTCTTGAAAAATGTATACGGAAATCGGATATAGTTAATAGCTATCCTAACAAATTGAAATTCAAACAGGCTACCAACCTATATTGAGGCCAGTGTAGCTTCCTAGAAAGTCCTCATAAACTTCATTTCCACAGAATAGGTTGAGACGAATGGTGACAGCCTTTGCATTCCACCGCTCTAATAAATGCAAAGGGAAAAAGAGAGACTGGTTTTGTTTTTATTTTTGTGAAAAAATTGCAATTTAATTCCAGAGCATGAGTTTACCTGAGGATATTTGGCCTATCAGCATGCAGACACAAATTTTTCCATGATACTTTCATTGACATTCAGTAAAATTAAAACGACCGAAACACAAATAATGTAAAGCTGTTATAATTTTGAAGGAGTGTATCTATATCAAAATCGCAAGTAAACAAATCTACACCAGCAAGTGGACAGAATGTATAATCACCAATGAATTTGACTCCACAAACTGATTCTTCAAGTTCATCATGTGGCCCTTAATGCCTTCGGCTCCAATCTTCATTGGACATATTAAATAGAATTATGAAATGCAAAGACCATTGAGGAACAACTCACCAATTTGCGGACAAAAACGTATATCCCCAACCTCTTTGACCAGTTCGCTGGTGACGTAACTTTTAGTGCCATTGTCAGTGGCAAATATGGAGATGTTCAGGGACTCGTGCCTCATTTGATACTGGTAGATGAAGCTGCACTTCAACCGCATCAACGCATCGTCTATGTGCATGAGCGCAGACTCGTCTGAAGATTAATTCAAATTATTGGCAGACGTCAATGCCAAAGAAATACGAATATTATAAAATTTGAACTCCTTTTCTCATTTAAACAAGAAAACTGTTTTTGGAGTCCCGTATCGTGTTTAAACGTTTGTAGCAATTACACATATCGAGATATGTGATCTATTTTGAAGTTTAAGAAATACCCGTTATTTCGACGTTCCTCTTCTTCCTTTGCTCGGCGTTCGCTGCATCTTTGCTAGCAGTAAACCAGGGCAGGTTGCCATAGGGCAAGGCAGAGATGTCAGGCTCAGCCTCCTTCATCAACATTTTAGTATTAATTTCACGTGTAGTTATCGTATAATTCAACTCTACACTCATGTCCCGTACTTCAGAAGTAAATTGATGGAGATAGAAGAGAATGAGTCAAGCATTAGCGAACAATTATTTGAATGCTTGCTTTGCACCAGATCTCTTCATTTGCGGTGCAATGAATTTATTATGTTCACGATGAAAATGAGTTCATGAATCTGGAACAGTTTCCTTTCCGTATATGAACTTATTTAACAATTTTTAAGTTGAACAGTTTTTAGAAAGCACGTACCAGCGGAAGAACTGCACGTCTTCTACTTCGAACGGGTGACGCGGAACTTTCTTTTGTAGTCGAGTTTGTGTCGCCGGTTGTTGCGTATTCAGTAGAAGAAGAAGTGCTTGCTGCAGTAGAAATCGAGATTTTGACTTGAATTCATTTGAACAATACAACAGTTCTTGTAACTTGGGAAATTGTAATTTAGTATCGAATTTATTAACTGTTGCAATATTAGCAATACAATAGGCATAATTCAGAATAATTGTCAAATTAGCAAGATATCTAACTTTACCTGCGGGCTCGGCCTTTGAACTCTGCGTTTGCGAGATGAGAGTCGTTGATGGAGATGCTTGCGATGTCGAGAACGAGGTTGTGGAGCTGTCATTGTTAGTATTGTTGATCAAGTCGTTGTCATCGAAAGTTTTTGGTTGTGAGTCGCAATTTTCTACGCATACATCTGTAAATCAATTCGCAAAATACAGTTAATTTAACATACGGTAAGAGCTTTCTCCGTCTACTGTAATAGCATTCTGATCCTTACACCAATCAACACCCGCACAGTTATATTTATATTCGTATGTTTAAGTGAATGAAGAAGAAAATCTACACATTTAGTTGAGTTATGTATTAAGAAGTCGTCGGAGTGAAAATTTCAATTAAATTTACCCTTATATGAAGAGTTTACATTCCCACATCAACATTCTCACCATCTGCCAGTGGATCGTCGCTGACATTTTTAAGGTCGGCACATTCTGAAAGCAAATTCATGATATAAATAAATCAATTAACTTTTTAACTAATTGAAGGTTTCCATGAATTCAAAATAAAATGCACATAAATCAACAAGAGTTTTTCAGTGATTTTTTAATTAATTGAGGTGTGTAACAATTACGAATTAAAAGAAATTTTGGAAAAATCATAAAGTCAATTTCTATTGAGACAAATTAAGATTATCATTTTTTTGCTTCGATAATGCTTGATGATAAAGTCACATCAGAATTTCCATCAAAATATGCAAATTGAGTATTCCATTGATGTTATTTATAAAGTTAAGCAATTTACCGCTACTTAAGTTACTGTTGCATTAAATGCTGATAGTATTTATTCAAATCTTGCAGTATAATAAAAGAATATGTTGTGAGGCAGAAGAAATTTGCGAGTAAGAAAACAAGCGTAAGGTAATTATTCTTATCGTTGTGCACGAAATTAAGATGTATTCTTTTATATATTACCTTTCGGGTGCTATAGGAATGGATTTTTCAGTTCATTGAGTGAATAATTGGGTGAGCATGATCAATATTATTTTCAAAATCTTTCACCAGCCACAGTGTTCTGTTCCTGGACTTCGATGAAGGCGTCGTAGACTTAGTCGTTCCTGAGCGCATCTTCGTTGTTGATGGGGTTCAGGCTGCATAAAGTCACCGCTGGAAACTGGGCCGGGCGCTCCGTTTGTAGCTGAGATTACAAAGTTAATTTTGGCGAGCAGTAGCAAATCCTGGTATCCCACTGCCCCCTAACAAAATTGGGATTTTATTTTAGCCCGACTCTGCACCAGGTTCTGACCATCGGGGAGCACGCAAGTCAGCCGCTCTTTCTCCGCTTCGGCCGAACTCGAAGTGCAGATTTTAGGCAGCTAGCAAACTCGACTTGACTTTGACTCAGACACCCCTTGAAACTACTCCTGTAACTTTTACAATAGTAATTCCTAAGGACGTGCTTTATTATAGAATGATAGCGCCTCACCACAATCAGCGCAACATTGTGCCACTGGATGCAACAGATTTGTAAAACGTTCCTGAGGTATAGTTATTCTGATCGTCCCACCTGAACCGCCACAGCTTTGGGGTACTTGATGTACTCATTGTAGACGTCGTAGCACTGCATGAGGCCGTACACCGAGCATAGAATAAAGAACGACAACCACACCAGCCGACGCAACCAATGACGGGCACTGAAACAACGTACCTACTGTTACACTCGTCACATATTCCGAGAATGTATGGGTCGATTGACCTTGGTCGAAAGCTATCAGTCAATCTGTGGTCTTTTTATGAAATTCATATAATACACTGAAATGCTTCCAGTCACCCGCATGTCTGTGCGATGCCATCCAAAGTGACAGTTTCCAGGAACTCTTTGGTGCGGGTCTTCACCCTCGTCCAGCGGTTCTCTAGCTCGACCGGCGCGTCGAAGTCCGACGGCGGTTGTTCCCATGAATCTTCGTCGCTGATCGAGAGGGATTATGGCCCCATTTTTCAGAATGGCTCTCAGAAAATAATGTTTCATTAATACTCGTAGATTATTCCAGAGCAAAAGATAATAAATAGATAATTTATAATAACATTAGGTGGTTTAAAATGACACAAATTTCAATAGCAGCCCATTACCCCACGCAACTCAGTGTTGCCTGACACTCAGCGTTAGCTGATACCCAATATTACCTGAGACGCAGTAGCATCCAAGACATCGCGTAACCTAATACATAGTTTGCCTGCATCACAGTTTTACCCGTTATTCAGTGTTACCAGAGAGCTGGTATTATCAGTGACCGAGAGCTGCTCGGGACACAGTTATTACTCGCAGCCCAGTGCTACTCGCGACCCAGTGTGACCTGAGATCCATTGTTATTAGAGACCCATTTCTGCCCACAACCCTAAAGCTACTCTGCAGCTCATTTGGCATGCAGCCTAACGCCATTTGTATCCCATTGCAGTCGCAGTGCCTATATTACGATTATCAAAAAACAGTCACTTTTCCTTCAAAACATTGCCCCGAACAAATTTTTCCACGCAAATAATTTATAAATTCAAGTCAATTATTAATTACAATCAGCAAATGATCTTGATTGAGCTTTTTGAATGAAACTTCAACCCCATGTTCGAGCTACTTTTTTACACAAAAAGAATTTATGAAATCGATTCAATTATTAATTACGACGATTGAATGATCTTGATTGATCTTTGTGAATGAAACTTCAACCGCATGTTCGAGCTAATAAACTTTACCTCTTCTGTTGTAACGAAGTTTGGAAGCGGTCTCTAATGGTATATTTTCACGAATTGGCATGTATGTTTTTCAGTTATTATAGCATTATTAATTATTACTTTCCTTTAATATTTCCAAGGTCTAGAACTGAACCAGGTTGAATTTTATTTTGCAAATGCTGTTCTGCAAGAACACATAACACGCATAAAGCGCATAATGAGCCAATATACTCTGAATGTTATAACTCTTTCTGCTAATGAAAACCATGAGACAGAAAGTCACGATCATACAAAAATGTTATAGTCACCTTCCTCTAAATGTGTGAATATATTCGTCTTTTACACTGCGGGTCGGTTGCCACAAACGATGAAGAAATTTAAAACGACGACGTAGGCGACATCTGTTAAAGTGGAATAATTGGAACTTTTCCGTGATTATATTTTCGTTACTAAACACGACTTTATTTTTATCACTATACACGACTTTGATTTATAACTGCAAATCATCGACAGTGGAGCTCGCAAAGACAATAATAGCTGCAGTGCCTCACAGAATTGTGATATCATTTAGCTCTGCACGAACCACGCTGATATTTTGTATTCATACGAACAGATAAGTGCATTGGATATAAATCAATACTTTACAGACAAAAGTACTGACAAAAAGTCTTATTCAATTGTTTTATCATTCCATGAATTTAGCTGTACTCGTTGAATCCAAGTGGATGCATAAATAAAGCTGACTTAAATTATTTTCAAGGTGAAGTGTATATACAGAAGTAATAAAAAAAACTTCCCCAATCAGAACACGACTCCAATTCCCCAATCAATGCTGCTTTCGTGAAAAGATTTAATATGCATTGGAAAACTTGCTGATGGCGACACGCCATCAGTAGGTTTTCACAGACGTCTCACTGACCTACACCATATGAAATACTGGCTATCGAATGTAAATCGACGCATAAATAGGCCGCGGTTAAATTAAATTTGAATTTTTATTGATGAAAATCACAGGCTTCATTGTTAGTTCAAGAATCTGTTCCTAGAGAATGAGTGAATTACTCCGAATGTTAAAAGAAAATGTATCCGATTTTTCCGTCTATTGAATTTGCTATATTTTCTATATAAAATAAATAATGACGAGGAAAACGTGATTGAAATATTTACATTGTGGAGTTGAAGAGCCAAAAAGTAATTCTGCAATCTATTACACTTATAATCAAGTTTCCTTGACAGCTTAGATCGCAACGAAAAATAGCCAGAAAATTCACCATTTCTTTATAATTGGGAAAACTTTTAAAACCTATAAAACAAGAATGATCAATTAGTAAACAAAATTTCACATTGAAAATATTAAAAATTGAACAGACAGGCATATGTATTCATAATTTCAATGTCATAGGAGCTGAAGGCGGCAGTTAACATATGTAGGTTTCTGTTTAAAAATATTCAGGGATTCTTCAATTCGCAGGTCAGGAAGACAGGTTGTGGAAGTTAAATTTCGGAAATCACTATCGAACACCGGGACGTTTCACTGCACTCACCCCAGCTGTATCCATGATACATGGCCCATTTCTTGTCCTTTGAGCTCCTCACGAAGTGAACTTCTGCCTCCAAGGTCGGCGACCCTGGCGAACTCATCGTGAATTTGTGTCTTCAAGAGTATGGGCAATGAAAAATAGGCTGTAATTATACTATTTACCAAGGAATAAATACTTAATATTTCCTCCAGAATTCATGGAAAAAATACATCGACAATTGTGCAGTCACAGAGCCCATGCCGAGATTTTTTTAATTATTTCCAAGTTAAATTTGATTTCAACTTATTTAAAGAAACATCAGTTTAGTCCCCTACGCTTAGAGGATTTAATTTCATTTATTTATGAAGGACTTGAAGATGTTCTAAAAAGTGGTGGCGGCATAGACAAAAATTTTTTTGGAAGGTTTTATTTGGTTCGTATTTTTATACGATTTTTTATTAACAGCAGAAAAACGAATGAACAAACAAATATCCTGCAACTAAAGTTCGTTAAATATAATTTGACCAAGATTCGCTAAATCATAGAGCAACAATCTAACGTAATCCCTTTTTCATGTGGGATTTAGTATATCATTTTATTATTATTATTATTATTATTATTATTATTATTATTATTATTATTATTATTATATATTATTTGACCAAGATTCGCTAAATCATAGAGCAACAGTTCTAACGTAATCCCTTTTCAATGTGGGATTTAGTAAATCATTTTATTATTATTATTACCTTACCACACTTCTATTTAACTTCACTTCTTGTTCTCTAATCTTATAATCGATATTTAACACATTTCTACCTGTCCAATCGATCTGAATTTTTACACACTTTCGTGAAGTCGGAGACAAAGCATGAATCAGTTGACAAAATAAAAAAATTAAAAAATTGCATATAAAAATTGAACAATAAATTAATTGTACATATATAACATCGGAGACACCGGCCTCTTTAGCAGTGTCGTCATTAAAAAATGCTTTTTAAGCGTCAATTATTATCATATCCAGTAGACAGCTTATATCACATGGCTGTAGCTGCACGTGCCCTGATGCACCCTCCGAAGTGAAGAACCTAGACACACAGCGGCCTGATTAGAACTGCAGGGGCGTGGCTTTGTTCTTGACCGGTCTCTTGACGACAGCTCACGTACTTTTAACATGCAGTTTCATAAAACCGTTGTCTGTAAATTCTCGTATCTTGTACGTGCAGTAACTACTATACAATTACCTTGTTTATAAGAGAAGCGCGCACTGGAGCCAAAATGCTTTCGAAAATATTCTCGTTCTCCATTTTGGTTGTTCACAATTCTTGATCTGCGCGCCATTTAATAAATTTCTCAGCAATGACATTGATTATTAATCTGTGTCGAGGAAAGTCGCTAAGGCTATGGAAACGCCACCATTTTCAATCGTTTATGGGAACAACATCGTCATTGTATTGACATTTACGGAACCGTCCAATTAAATTATTCGTCTCAAACATGCTCACGGTGTATTTCGATCTGAAATTTTACACATTTGCGTGATGTCGGAGACAATGCATGAATCAGTTGACAAAATAAAAAAAATTAAAAAAAATTGCATATAAAAATTTAACAATAAATCAATTGTACATATATAACATCGGAAACACCGGCCTCTTTAGCAGTGTTGTCATTAAAAAATGCTTTTTAAACGCATATTATTATCATATCCAGTAGACAGCTTATATCACAGGGCTGTAGCTGCACGTGCCCTGATGCACCCTCCAAAGTGAAGAACCTAGACACACAGCAGCCTGATTAGAACTGCATGGGCGTGCCAGTGTTCATGGCCGGTCGCTTGACGACAGCTCTCGTACTTTTAACATGAAGTTTCATAAAACCGGTGTCTGTAAATTCTCGTATCTTGTACGTGCAGTAACTACTATACAATTACCTTGTAGATAAGAGAAGCGCGCACTGGAGCCAAAATGCTTTCGAAAATATTCTCGTTCTCCATTTTGGTTGTTCACAATTCTTGATCTGCCCGTCATTTAATAAATTTCTCAGCAATGACATTGATTATTAATCTGTGTCGAGGAAAGTCGCTAAGGCTATGGAAAAGCCACCATTTTCAATCGTTATTGTATTGACATTTAATTATTAATTTAATTTAATTAGACAACCGTCTAATTAAATTATTCGTCTCAAACATGCTCACGGTGTATGACCTCAACTGTCAGGAAAACAAATAAGGATGCAAAAGACACATGTATCGCTATACTACATACTGCATATATACATACTGCAAGCTATAACGAACTGTTTGAGAATTGCGCAACTATATTTATATTTACTATATGCTTGTCAAAGTTTGTCTGCGGGTTTGATTGTTTAAACTTTAAAAGCCTGGCGTATACATAATATATAGGGGCTATTAGAGCGTGTATCTACTATACAAAGCATACTGGGATATTGTTTGTAACCTGAAATCCACTGGTAGAATGGGAAAAGATTGGGGGAAAGCGAAGAAAATAATGCATGAATAATTTAATTTTTATTCTGATATTGGTAATTAAATAAAACAAATAAAAAATACTTTTAAAAACCACATTTTCTTAACGGAAAAAAAAGAAAAACATTTACTCTTACATAACATTTAAGTTATGTAAAATGTTATGTAATGTTATGTAAGAGTGAATGTTTTTCTTTTTTGTCCGTTAAGAAAACGTGGTTTTTAAAAGCATTTTTTATTTGTTTTATTTCACTATTTTTAGTTTTATAAAAACCATAAAAAAGTGGTTTTTAAAAATATTTTTTTATATTAATTTATTTTCTACTTTTTAGTTAGTAATTGTAGCAATTCACATCAATTTCCAGGGTTGGCAAGTGTGGATGTTCGAGAAAAAACTCAATTCCAAACAGTGAATTTTTATTGTTTTTTACTTTTTAAATAAAAAAAAAATTTTAATTATTATTTCTGATTATCAAATCTTGAATTGTAAGGCATCATAAACATGCATGCCAAATTTCAACTTACTAGGATGTTAAGAAGTGCTCTAAATTAAGGTTTGAATTTTTGATGACAGACAGACACGAAACGAAGTCAAGAAAAACGTGGTAAAATGTAATCAAAAAGACGCAAAATATTCTCTTTTTTTGTATTTTTGAGCGAGAGTAAAATGGGAGACCTTTGTTCTATATGAAATTTTAGTTTGAAGGGGTCATTTTAACTATTATATTATTAGTTTATTATCATTAACAAGATTATGGATTACTGGAATGACGGGATTTGGAATAGAAGGATTCCAAAGTTGAAGGAATCCTCAAGCCCGAGCAACGCCGTACTAACTTGCGAATCTAACTTACCACTGGGCCGCAGATTTTGTTGCAATTTATTCGCCGTCAAACACAGCGCCTTGTATTTTTCGAATGTGTGTCTTGCAGTATCAGTACTCAGTACGCTTAAATGGTTTTCCTCTTTCCTGCAACAGCTTCGTTGATTAGTGAGAAGAAGTACTTCGATTACTTTATTCCATGATGGACTAGTCTACGTAACACGTCTCCTATTACCGGAAGATAATTGTGTTGATTGAAGGTGAATAACTAATGCTAGTGTCGGTAATGATTAATAAAGTGAACAGATGAATTGTACATAAGGCCGCAAAAGTAATTGGTCACTCCCTTCGATGTCTGATATAAGTCTACCTTCTCGCGTTATGTGTTCCACAAGCAAACTTGATCTCGATTCATCGTTTCATTATAATCCCTATGTGGGCACGTCGGACGATTCATTTCTTCTCCCTCCGCCTACGAGTTTGAAGAGTGAATACCTGTGGGAAAACTACCCCTATGTGCTTGGTAAATCAGATTGGCAAGCTCTGAGTATAACCCCATCCGTGGAAAGACGCAAACACTGCGCCAATGGTAGGATGGACGAAGCTCATGAGGATTCGTCTGCGGCCCACAGAGAAGGTGGAGGAAATTGTCCGATTGTAGAAACTGCTGGAAGGCGGAGAAATTTAGACGACTACGCCAGAGAAGTTGGAAATTTAAACAGACCCTATGTCATGAGAGATTCTAATGAAATCTCGCGCGACTTCAGGAAAAGGCTGGGCTGCCTTAGTGATCAGGAGCCTGAAGACAATCTACGCAAATTTGCTCAGTTTAATCAGCTGCTATCAAAGGTCTCCGAGTCTGACAGCAGTAACGATGAAGTATTCACGCACAACACGCCAATTTCTAATCGCCGAAGGGGTTCGAAAAAATCAATTACCGAAAAGGTTACTCGTGCTTTGAGGAGGGATGCAAGTAAGGTATGGCATTCCGATAGAGCTAAGGTGAAATCTTACCCAAGATGCGAAAGGCTACTGAGTGCCCCAACTGAATCGTCTCAGCAATCAGCAAAGGCCTTAAATGGGCTGCAAGTTTTGCATCGTACGCGTGACACATCGAGAAAGTGGGAACAAAGAGCGTCTGCCAATACCACAAATGGTGAGCATATAGTGTTAGCCGTCAGCATGATGCTCTCCGAAAAGTCGCTATTAGACTGCTATTTTGTTATAGATGCTAGGCTATTTTAAGGCGTTCTTTATTTTGAATAGCATCGTTAATCGGGCCAATGTGTTATTACAGAGCTGTCCCAATCTTTGATATCAAAATTGAACTGTTGCTATAGTGAATTTTAAGTTTCTTATCAACATGTCAGACCTGTAATGTTTGTGTCTAGGTCTGTCGAGCGTACACAAAAGGCCACGGAGCAAACATCGAAGGCTACTAGACGACAGTGTTCAACCTACGACCGCCCATCTCGTAAGTTTCGTAAACTCTGCTCTCTGTTCTTGTTGTATCCATCCATCTATCCATCTCGATTCTTAACCCTAGTCAAGTGATTCACTCTTAGTCTTAGTGATATTTGATATTCAAATTTATGAACGGTTTTTTATATGTACTGAGGCTAGAACCTTTTCTTTGCTTGGCACACAGTTTATTGTGTAATAATAGCAGGCGCTTATGAAAATTGAAATTTCACTATCAGACGCTTGTTTACTTTGCTCTAACCGTAAAATTGAAAGTTGGAATAGACTAGATTACAATTTCTCATTTCAGGGTGTGGGGATGACTGCACTCCAAGCGGACTTCAGTGAGGATTGCGTTCCCAACCGTGAAAAAATGAAATCAACAAATGGTTCGCGGCAAATGTCTGTCAAGTCTGATACAGCGATGGGCTGCAGAAAAAAAGAACCGAACGTGAAGAAGCGAAATTCGCCGTGTAGACGCACCAATTATGATCTTGACGTCATTCCGTGGACAGCGCGTAAAAAATGGACAAAGTATCCGGTAGAGAAGATGTTGCTGGACGCCAGTCGGCACAAAGACCTCAGAAAGGAGAGTTCAGGGAGTTTCTCACCTAAATTGTTGGAACCTCGAAGTTCAAACTGGGATCAAAGAAACTACAACAGGAGTCGCTATGGCCCCTCACTGCAAGGAAGTGTTCAACCACCAACTGAAGCAACGCACTTCGAAAATGACGTTAGGAATCAATTGAGAGATTTTGAAATCGGGAAGAAAGCTGCTATGACTAGAGAACCTAGAACTAGTTGGGAAACGAGAATAGATTCGGGAGCCCGAAAGACAGGGGAGCCCGTTCCCAAAAGACAGCCTTGTTCGAAAGGGTCCATAGATAAACGGTCGCCTGGTTCATGCACATCCCGGTTTAACAGAAATGCAGCTCGAAGTGAGAACCAAGATAGACATGAGGGAGACGATCAACATATGATTTCGTCCCGTGAAGACTCTCTCAGAATTCACCACGTGCAGCGATCCTCCGCGTGCCGGGAAGAGTGTGATCTCCTATCGGCTTACTTACCCTTGCTATTTTCTCATAAATGCTACTTGGAAAAAGTTGCTGCATTCGATAAATTCAGAGGTTTAACTGCCGGCACCAAAAAAGATTTTAAGGCTGCAAATGTTAAAAATCACGAGCTTATAAATAGTGTGGACGGAAGATATTTCTCGAAATTTAACCACATTGGTGCAACTCATCAACGCAACAAAGAAACGGCAGAAGCGGCTGCCAAAGTTTCCGGTTGCGGGGAGCCGTCTGCCCCTAAACTCCTCTCATTTATATCCGCTAATGAGGACTTGGACGAAACGCCGCTCTGGGACGACAGAGTGGCATCAGCAGCCACGCAAACGGTTATTCGCTCGTCGAATACTGGCTGCCAAGCTATTCCGTTCTCAGTTCTGTCGGTTGGAACACAGTGTGATCTTGCTGATTTTAGAATGGAGATACGGAAAGTAGATAAGGCTTCTCAATGTGGAACGATTGCCGAAAATTCGTGTACAAGGGAATTACAACCTGAAAATGATTGTGGCCTGTTCGACCCTCGCAGCGCCATTCCTCGTGCAGTGCCTGAAAGTGGCGAGTTAACTCAGAGGGGAAAACGGTACTCTCTTACGGGATCTACGAAGGATGACGCTCCGAGAGCGACGATGAAACTTTTCGTAGGGAGCGTTTCTGACAGAGTGAAGAGCTTAGAGGCCACAGTTGGAAGTCCAAAAATTGAAATGGCCTTTAATGCAAGCCATTACACTTTACCAACAGCCATACCAAAAAATTGCAACGACTTTGAAGAAAATCGGTATAGAGATTTCCATACTCGAAGGGAGAAAGAGTCGGAGGTTGATAGCATTGACGAAGTAGACGAGTTGAAAGAACGGCCGCTGTCGAAGAACTCACAAAGAAGGCAACTCAAAGGGAAAAGAAGGCTGAAAGAAGTCGATAGCAATTGAAAATGCGCATGTCTCGGCATTTTTCTCGAAACGATCCAATTCTCGACGTTCTACGTTTAAATTTCAACCTATTAATCAAACAGACAAGCGTTAAAGATTTGAATTGACTGTTTAACGCTAACCTGTTATTTTACTGGACTTGTCGAATAACTTTTTAAGTTGAGACGTGAACGAAATCGATACTTTAATGAATTTTATAGCCTCTATTTACTAATTTGTGAACAATTGTACAAATTGTCTAGACTACTGCTTTATTTGTGGAACAGAGAAAAAAATTGTAGACGGAGTATTTTGATCTTATTTGTCCCAGGTTCTTAACAATGTAGTGTAAAGAGCCAACTCGTCAAATAGTTTCAAAATTCATCAAGACTGAATCGTGTCTGGCCACTGGTCAAGCGATACTACTTGTTTCTGCTGAATTGACACACCAGTTGAATGTGTTGAACATGCAGGGGCGAGCACAGCTTCCGCATATTTTTTGCTACACTTTGTCAACATCAAACCTGTTCCTGACTTGACCGTATGAATGTAGATGGAGGGGGGGGCGCAGCTACAGTAAAAGTTGAGAGGACTTTTAAAAAAATAGACCGCAGAGGCCTAGCGATAAACTTGAAGTCAACACAAACTAAAGCAATTGAGCCGGTATGCAAAAGGATTCAGAATGATCGTACATCCGTAACCATTCGTTTGCAACGAAAGGCTAATTTTTTTGTCTGTACGTCTATAAATCATCACAAATGCCGCTCAATTCTGAGATTCAATTTGAATGCTTCATGTACGCGAGTGCCTTCTCAGTTCAAAACTGAATGCGCCGTTTTATTGATGGGCAAAAACGAAAGCATAAGTTTGAGCATTAAATTTGTAATAACTTTCCCTTCACTGCTTGTTTCCAAACATTGAGGGTTTTTTTTCGACCGCAATACTCTAATACTCTGATCACATTAAATAATTTAGCAATAAATTCTTATCTGCGTCTTCCCGCAACGAAAAGGAAACGAGGAAGGCAAACTTGTGTTCCTGCCATTGTTTTGTTTGCAACTTCCGTGCGAAAAGTCAGCAAAAAGTTCACGTCTGCATGTCGGCCTTGACCGCCTTCAGTCCTTCCTCAGCGTCGGCCGAATCCGCGATCTTGCAGTGGCTCGTCTCCGGTCACGTCCGCCGACGATGGCGTTCACATTTACACGCATTACAGCCCCTGATTTCGATACGTGTCGTACATATACTGTCAAATGTCTGGATATTATTTAAAATAAGACACTTTGAAGGTCATAAATATTTATTTTTGAGAAAGTGCTATGCATGGGTCTTCACTTACACGTCGGAAGTTTTAAGCATCTCAATCTTCAGAATAATTTATCTGAGTTTGATCAAATGAGAAAATTTTATCAGACCCGCAACACGTTCGAACCAGAAACGATAGAAAAATGTATTTGATTCTATCGGAACAAAGTCAGAAAGGAAATAAAAAACATATAATAAAAAATTGAATGCAATCTCGTTAGAATATGAGGGTAATCCCGAATTTTTGAAAATTCGCTGGTTTGGAGGCTTGAGACATGACGAAATTTATGCTTCAAGGATTCGAATTTAAGTTATTATTTATATTTAATAGTTAAATTACGTACTCGAACCAGCCTTAATTCAAATGTATTCGCATGCGACTAAACTAGCTCATGCCGTCAGGAGTTTGTTGGCTTCGATTAACGGATTAATACTAAAGAAGGATTTTCAAATTTTTATATAATGTTTTAACAATTCTCTGTTTATACTCAATTCGCTAAAATGAAAAATCGATAACAAATAGCAATATGTCGACCATTACAAGTGTTTCTAGGAGAAAACGCATGTTGCACAAATGCGATTTACGCTTGGTGCTGTAAAATTTGACCAACGATTAACCATTGCACTTTTATAAAAACGATAGCTATTTATCCGAGGGTCGCGCATAATTGCCCTGTAATCAACCATTGCAGTTAGGCAGCCAATGGAATAATTAATGCGAGTTGTAAAATCGACCAGTGATTAACTATTGCACTTTTACAAACGATAATCTTTTATCCGCGCATCGGGATACTTAATCACTAATTAAGTGAGGGGACCCAGAGACGGAAGCGATGTCGCGCCTCGAACTAATCTCGGCGACGCGACCAAAATTGCGACGGATTTCATTCATGTGAGCGGCGATATAGGGTACGATGAGCTACGTATAGCGAATCCAATGCCTTTCACTGTGATAGCCAGCCTCCGGAAAGTGTCATTCATCCTCTTTGTGTAATTCGGGGACTGTTGAGATGATTTTATACCGCTGCTTCTAATATTGCTTATATAATATGAGTGAGTCAACTTTTACTGCTACGTCGATATTGCAGTTGTAGTCATAACCACTGTGGCAATGTATAATTTTGCTATTTCTAATATTTTTTACTTTTAAAATTTTTCACTAGCATACCTTATATTTTTGATAATGATCTTAATTTTTTTAATATTACTGCCGTTAATGATACTTGTATTCCTTCCTACTGCTACTATTTCTAATGATACTTATACTCGCGAAGGATAATATTAATTTACCATTATTTTTGCAATAATATTACTTCTGCTGCCACTACTACCAGCTATTATTATAACAGCTACATCGTCTAACATCACTACGTCCGCATTTTATTTCGAGTCGAGGTTTCGGAATCCTTAATGGTTCACTAGGTTCTCCCATTAAATCTAAGTCAATCTCAGTCATGAATTTTTTTATTAATCTAAATTATTAATAACCTTACGATTTTAGAAAATGAATTCTTATTTTTTTTTTTTTTTGCTATTAACTAGAAACATCTAGCCACCAGTTCAGGTACTTTGACGTCAAATAAATTTTATCGGAAACGCATGCTAATTTGGAAGTATTCAGATTTAAAGCTTACACTTCAGGTATTTTATTCACCTAGAATCTGACCATGAACAAAGGAATACCTCATTGCGGATACATTACGGAGCTCATATCTATTCACTTGCCTTGATTTACTTATGTAATCACAAAGGCTCATAATAAATGCTAGCGGGAGTCAGCTGAGCCTGTTTAGTTTCAAGGTTAGATCAAGAAAGAACACAATAATTATTCAGCTTGTGTGAATATTGACCCTGAGCATAATGTACAAGTCTTAGGGCGGAACTGTGAACTCAGGAACTTTGTTGTGCGAGTTCCTGTGACGACAGAAAGTTAAACTTAAGTTCCGCTTAGTTCCAAACTGACACGTGCTTTAGTATTTAAGAATTGGGTACAGTAAAATTATTGTGAGTTTAAGTATCGTGAGATTAAGTTAGAAGATTTTGTTTCAACCAGTTTCAGAATCATATTTTAAGGTTTTAAAAATAAATTAGATTAACACGCTAAATAATTTTAAGGTTCATATTCTTTATACAGATTGGCTTAACAACGAACGATATCGGAACTATAATTAAGTGTACCTGACATGCAGGAAGGCCTACGGCAGCGTCCGTCGCCAACGAGCTTCGTGAAATTTAAATTGACATTCAAGCGCGCGTTGCTCCAGCATTGCGAGATGCTTTTAGCCTCTAAATAAATAACAGCCTCTTCCTGTGCTGAGTTTGTGTTTAGTGGAGAACAGAACGCGTAAACACTGAAGAGATCGGCAGCAAAATTTTCGTTCATGTAATAACAGTAACAATTAACGACACATATTTTTCAGCCTACTCATACTAGTTAAGAATGAACTGGAAGATGATAATGATGGGATGATAATACTTGAACTAAATTACAATTCAATTCTATCCATGTTTATGTGAATTATTTGTTTTATGATGTATACGGCTGTTTATTTGCAAAATCACCATCGTCAATGCATGCAAGTGCATTCTCTTATCAGATGAATGCCAGTTAAGGCAAGCTGGTTGTTTAGGTTTACATTGAGAAAAATGTTATTAATTTCGAACAATGGATATGAGATTACAATGAAGCATCACAGTCAGGTAGTGCTAACAAATTTCTTTGCACCAGTAAAACTTTTTATTCAGAATTTGTTTGATACACGGTGCAATATCAAAGCCTTACCGATCTAACCTGCAAAGTAATGCAGCAATATTTAGCTCAACAGAGGCATTACGCATTAGGAAATAAATCCACTATTAATGTTTGACGTATGTCTACTCATCATCATTTATATTTTACTTGCAACAAATTATTCATTATGTCAAGCTTACATCCTCAGTTAAATCTACCACTCGATAGGTAATTTCATTGAACAAAATTAATGTCCTATTTATTTCCCAACAACACTGTTAGAAAAATTACCGTTAACGGTATTACCGGCGTTTCAGTGGCTGGTCAGCACGTGAAAAGAAACACCGTGTCGCCGTTTTTATTCTAATTTAACACTAGAAATCCGTAAAACATCTGATAAAAACGGCGAAACAGTTTATTTTCACGGGGCGACCGGCCACTAGAACGCCAGTGGGACCGTTTTTCACCGTTTTTTCTAACATTGAATATTTTTTCTACTATCGTACGTAAGCAACCTTCATCATGCATGATCCGGGATTATGGTTACCGTCGGCTTTAATATATTATGTAATAGTTCAATAGTAGTAGTAATAGTAAATCCTGTAGTTCAATGTCGCTGAAATTTTTAGGTTCGTTAATCAAGTTCATAACGGTGCGCATCGAAGCTTCACTCACAGGCGTTATTCAGCACATTCACTGCAGTGACCATGCGGTGATCGTGAGCAATGTCTTCTCACTCACTGAATTGTGAGTGTACACTGACTCACTCAATGTCAGTCTAAACTGAAGATTTTCGACTCTTCTCTTAAATTTCTAAATTTAAAACAAATTCTCTGGCAGAATATGTTTATTTTTATTCCTAAACTAAATGATAGTGAGGGATTATGCAGTGCATGGCAAATGATTCTCGTGAACAGACGCAGTTATTGCACTAGGATAAAATAAAATTACTACGATTGTCGGATTTTTTACATTTAGTGAAACCATGATTTCTCTCATAAAATGTAAAGCCTACTTTAGATGATTTTTAACGCTTCGAAAATCAAACTAATTTCATGCCTTGTATTGATTGCACCTTCTTTCCACGCAATGTAAAGTTCGATGGCCTTATTCATGTCAATACAGAAACAGGAACTTTCTCTTTCGCGGTAATATAGAGTACGATTATAATACACAGATGATGAAGCCTTAGCAATTGAGTGCTTTAAATGCTCACGAGCAACGAAGTGCGAATAAAACCATCAACGATGGAGAAAATACCTTCTGCATGCAAGCAACTCAAGGTTACGAATTTCTCCGAACGCAGCGTCATGTTTAGAAATAATTCTTGGTTATAGACTACTTTTCATGTGTAATTATTTCTCGAACCGCTTCTAAGCTGTTGTTTTTACTAACAACGAGTATTATTTTTGTGATGTTTATCGTAACTCGTATGATTGAGCTGAACAGTATTTTAGTTTTGAGAATCTTCGCTGGACGCGATTTCCAAGCGCCCGCAAATTGCTCAAGATCAAGGCCCTCTCGATCGGCACCACAACACGTACTGAGCTCCTCGTCTCAGAACCACAACTTTGAACATTTTTATTGGGAAATAACACTTATTGATATATAAAAAATTAGTTCTCAATGTTTGAAATCGGAAATGTCTATCCCTAACTTAGTAGTATTTTTCTAGCATTTACTTCTTGGTAATCATAGCTCCGCATTCTTCTTGTTTTCTTCTATCATTATATTCACAACCACGTTCTAATTTTAAATCGAGGCAGTAATTTTTACGGTGCTCACTAATACAAGTTTTGCATAAATAATATACCATTTTTGTTTCATTCATCGATACTAATGTTATTGAATTCCTTAAAAAAATTTAAACTACGATCGAATTCTCCTAAATTTTTCTCGAAGGAAAGCATCCGAATTTGCCACTACACCCCTAAAAAAAGTTAGACTTGGTCCCAATGTTGCACATCTTGTCCCGGTGTGGGTCAACAAAATCCAGTTTGGTCCGGCGAAAGGACATATCAATGCCACGTCGGCTCTCCGCTCATGCTGTTGCTTAGAAAGTGTATAGCAATTTGGACAGTCTGACCCATTAATTGTTCCCTATGCTGGCCCTCCAGAGCGTGAAGGTCCTCGATGACTCGCGTCTCGCGTCTGCCTTGCTGTCCAGCAGCCGCGGCGAGTATATAAGGAGCCTCGCTGCTCAGTGCGTTAACATTCTACCTGACGGCTCTCAAAGGTAAGACGTCTCATGTTCTTGCTCCCGTGTTATCACATTTCAAATTTTGATAAAATTGGCTTCCAATTGGTGCTTATTTTTTACAATTATTTTAGTATGAAAGTAAGGCAAACGTAGCTGAAAAAGTACATTGAAGGCTCGCAACGAAAGAATTTAATCTGAAATTTGCAGGAAAGGAAACAATTAGCATTTCGCACGACAAGCGTTGAAACGATTGATTAATTGTTATTGAAAAGTCATTTGTAATAGAACAACTCATGTACAAATATACTTTCTTGTTTTTTTTTCATTTTAGAATAGAAGGAGCGTCAAAGTTTATTATATGTAGCCAAGATTTTAGTCAAAATGAATCGCATAAATGAAAAAATCCAGAAACTAGCTTCGTTTGAATGGTTTCGAATGCGAATTAATAAGGGATTACATCACATAAATATTTTTGAACATTACGTGCCTTGCGCGTCGGACAAGAATGAGTGTCACAGACTCAGAAACTGAAAACCTATACGCGTATTTATGCGGCGACGACAGGTTTCATTTCATAATAAATGTTAAATCGATAATTTAAATCAAAAGATTGGAAATTACCACGTTTTTTGCTCAGTTGAGGACCAGCTGCACGTGATGTAGCTACTGTGATCACTTTCATAGCCCAGGAGTTAGACACCCTAAACTACTAGCAAAAAACTATTCGGTGCCCTGCCTTGACTGACCTCAGGTCATCGAACTCCCTCTTTCTATTTCATCAACACCTAGCAATGTGCAAGGCTTCAAGAAAACAATGAATAAAAAATCGGTGCCATAATTTCAGTTTCTCTTTTTTTTGCCAGGTGAACGGTCAAAACAGGTTTCGACAACAAATCTGTTAACTCTACTCATGTCCCTAATTTAGGAATTCATTATGCAACATTTTCCCTCAAAAAAATCATATATAAGTTCCTTTATCTATCCTTGCTGACAGCCATGTTAATCATAATTTAATTTATCATATTCATAAAACCATAAAATAATATAATCATTATAAATAGAATCATAATATTATGTCCCTAAATCATGAAAACTAGCGAAGCAACCTAGTCTCAAATCATGAGTTTTAGATAACCTACATAGATCATGAATTCGAAAATTCAATGGAATCAAAAATGCATTTACTAATTTACAATACCATTCATCAGATTAGTAGGAAGGGCTTCGTCGAAAGCAGTCCCACTCTAAATACAAAAAGCGTCTATCGAGTTCTCATAGATCTACCTATGACACATCTAAACAATAACTTCAATGTTACATTGCATAGCATCTAACAACTCCTCTTCCTGTTCCCTGGGAGCTTGGCGCCCCTAAGCCAGTTAAGCCCTGCACGCTTTAGTTAGCAACTTCCTGATTTTTCGTTCCTGCTGAGTTATTTTGTTCCGCATTCAGTTGTGGCGACGGGAAAAATTCCGCATGTTCATTTTAACGTTTTAAATTCCTGCATTTGGTAATCAGCGCGGTTTCAAAATTGGATTTTAAGTAATGCAGCCTCTTTCAAATGGTGCTCAAATTGTTCCAGGCCTTCCATTTAATTCGGCATTGAATGCGCTGAAGCTGCAACGCCACATTCGCAGTGACAAGCAACGTGACAAGCAGAAAAAAATCATGAATGATGATCAAATCGCTGGCTCTAGCGTGTGAAAAGTGAACACATGTAACCATATTTTTCATTCGTGAGCGATCGTTAGATTATTTGTGAGTCTCGCGTAACCTTGAACATCAAATACTTAAATTTATCGTGAAGATGTGCATTTGTGCAAGCAGTTTCAGTTGTGTTCGAATCTTGCACATCATATGTTAAATTTTCAATTGAGAGTTATCCAATTTGGACAGACTCAACATTAACTCAAACATTTTTTTTAAACTTCAAAGTACCTTTTTTACGATAAACGTAGCTAAGAATTGCACGCACTGAGACAGAAATTTCTGAAGGCAAATTAATACAACTTACATGTTGAGAGCTAAGCGTTCACACCCTAATGTGTAAAGGACTTATGGAATTTTAATTTACAATCTATAAGACTAAAGTGTAATTTCATCAAACAGTAATGCATTTAGCAGATGGGCCAGAGCCTGGTTAGTGTCCAGGTTTCCTCATTAGGTCGATCCCTCTTCCTTTCACTTATAGGCCAGACGGCAACCCCATTCACTCCTAACCTTGATATACTTTGCCCAAACCTGGAATCTTTCGCTTCGAATTTGTTGCACATTTTAAACACAACTTCAGTTTGGACGCTCGGCAGTTCTTACAATTCATTTTCCTTGTGAATGAAGTATTCAAAATAGTGGGAAGTAGGCGTAGAATGATCTTACCGTAAAACCGAATAAAAGCCCCCAGGCCCCAGCCTCCAGGTTTGTGGAATTTCGTAGCTATTTGGCTCGCTAATTCATTGTTCATCGTATAATTAACTGCATTGCTACTCAGGAATCTGGAAACACGAATGCGCCCCTTAAGTATGACTAGTTCAGTCATTGAAGTAGCGCTGCATTTGTACCTTTTTCACTTGAAGATATTTAAGAGCCAACACATAAGATCTTCTTTAACAACAAGAATGGTTTCGCCTACATTGCCTTTGTTGAAGACGGTGAAAGTGGTCAAATTATCCTGACCTTGATACTGGCACTGTGAGTGCGAATATCGAAGTATGAGAGAGTGTTCGGACTTCAGGTTGTCAGTATCACGTAGGTGAATGTTCTTGTGAATTGCGAAACGTTGGTGTACTTGAAGGAACCTTGTATCGGATTAGGTATATATATAGGCTTCTGGAGTATCATGATATTCTGGGCCCAGAAATATCAGCGTGTGTTCGCTCCTATGAGCATTCTTTTGATAAAACTTCCTTCGGTTTTAACTTTTAAACCGGTGTGTCGCGACTGTTCGGGACACATAGGTAGCGGTTTTGCAGCTAGCTTTTAAATTGCACTTAACTCTGCATTCTACGCAGGTGAAAAATCTTTCTCTTACGAGCATTCACTAATCATCGTTGACGAAACTGTCTGTTATATCTATTTAGCTGAAAGATTCTTTCAGTTAGCATCAAACCTCGGAAGGTTCGATGCATCCTTTACGTCTCATTTGGACATGATCGGTTTATTTACGTCCACAGCTCGAATTGATCAACTAAATTAGCTTTCGATTCGTTTCTCTCGTAAAATGATTACTAGAATTTGAAACAAGAATCAACCCCAGGGGACACGGCTATAAACCAAAAAAAATTGCGCTGCAACTTATCCACGCGACATTTCTTCTCGCTTTGAATTAGACATGTGGAACAGCCTCCCCGATTACATCGTTGGCGCTCAGAGTATGAACGCGTTCAAGAACAGACTAGCTAAAGCTTTGGAAAAATATATATAAAGACTTGAAATGCCTAGCCCCATATCGAACCAGGTGAAAATAAAGTAGCTATTTCAAACTAGTCAGTCTTGAAAAGGTCCGGTCAAATGACACGATTTTAGATCTTTAGTGACAAAGTCACCAAAAGTTCAAGAATCGGCAACAGGCCACATCAGAGCCTACTCTTTAGCGCCGACCTCACTAAGTTATGTAACATACTTGTCCGTTTCGTTGAGCGCACCTCCCTGCATTGATATTGTTAGTTTACGCACCAGGAATGGATGAAGCGCCTTTCACCGTCTTATGTGATCTACACAGACAATTGGATAGTTATACCTAGTAACTACCTTTTATCAGTCCCGTTCAAATTAGGATATTTGACTTAACGCGAATGGATTGCTGTGCGTCGTTAGCGCATCCGCACAACTGGTTCGTCGGGTCTTGAAGCAGCGTCTTGCGCACCTCACCGTTATCGCGTGGCCTTGTCACTTTCACCACACCTCGCTGTGTGAGCGAAGGCCTTGCATGCGGGAAAGACCTCCGTAAGGAGCATATGGCACGCTTGCGTCATTACGGTTAGCACCGCTAACTCTTAGAAGAGACGCAAACTCACGCTAGAAGCATTGAAGGCAGTGATTTCCTATCTCAATACTAAAATAGTTGGTCTCCTGTCGGCACCGAGCCAGAGGCCTCCTGGCATTGAACGAATATTTTCGTTTTTTTTTGTCAAGTGTGCTGCAATATTTAGGGGCAAACCTCCTTTGTTGGGAGTTTATCGAGGTTTTTATGTTAGTGTCGATTTAAAATGTTCCATTGCGATTATCAGAGACTAGAAACTTTCAGTGGGTAATTATGGTCTCGAAAAAATCTAGTTTGAATGCTAAAATGTTATGAATGTCCTACCAGCTACACGCATTAACTATTCGCATATTCCTCATTTCAGATGCGAGCTCTGATTCTGTTGTGCGCTGTGGGCCTGGTTGCCGCCCAACGAGGCTTCTTCCAGGGGCAAAACTTTGGCCGGCAACGAAGGCCCCAGTTTCAAAACGTGAGTTCTTCATGACCAAAAGCCGTCGTATTAAACTTACCTGCTCCGTGCCATTCATGGTGACTCGGCACGTGGCTTCCTAATGGCGGTCTAAAATTCTGACGTTTACATTTTTACGTGTTGAATATGGCTATATTTCACATATACAAGTTCAGTTATCGTATCTACCATTCAGCATTATCCATTGACGACTAATTGAACAAAAATTGTGACAGTCGTTCGGAGGAGGAGGAGGTGGCGGTGGAGCCGTGGACGACAGGAACGGACGCAGTGACTACCACTTCTCGTGGCGCCACGACGGAGGACGCCAGTACACTGGCCAGGGCGCCGCGGGATACTGCCGAGGACTGGGTGGCGGGTGGGCCGCTGTGAGCATCAACTCTCCTAACGAGAACGCCTTCGTTCAGAAAGTTATTCAAGGAGGTGAATATTGTGATTATTCGCTTAAATTTTTAAAGATTCAATGTGTGCTTTGGTTGAATTCTCATAGTTGGGGATCTTGGGTACGGGAAAATGTCCAAAATTCGGAATTCTTTTTAGTTTTTATGGACACTGAAGAATGAAGACCTTTCCTCGGTTTCGTTAATCAATAGGAGAAAGAAGGGGTGATATCTCGAGTAATGGATCCGGAGAATTGATATTTTTGTTCCCTATGATGAACGTGGCCTTACAAGCGAAATTACTAGTTTCGAACGTCACGTGTAGACGCTATGCTCATTAGGATTGATCAATCGGACTTGGATTTGCTTAGGACTTCTTTTACATTTCACTCTTGAAATTGATTATCTTACAAATCTATTGTCAATTATCGATTTAATTTTCCATTTGTGCCTGTAGAGCGCCTAGAATACATCTGGACCGGAGGCGTCGGTGGTGGCGGCGGAGGCTTCAGATGGGCTGATGGTTCCGGCGTCTCGTTCGCTGATTGGTCCCACACTGGAGGGTGAGTGGTAACCGCTATCCGAAACTATACGGAATAATAGTAAACGTCAGATTCCCATGCCTCCATCCTTGGCCGTCAAAATCTTTCGCAGGTGATATCCAGTATGTACTGACTTGTTAACACGAATGAAATGAATGTTAACACCAATGAAACGCAAAAGACCTCTACACTCTTACTTCCAGGTATAAAGTGTATAAGACGACGCTGATCAAACGTGTAATTCGTGTACACATCCCCTAAACCCTGCAGAGGTCGCGTGCAAAAACTGATGAATTTGCTCATTTCGTTAGTTTTCGTCAAGGTCGATTTTCGTAGGCAAGTGGATTACTTGTGTATTCCTCACGATCACTGTAGGGTTGAATTGCGACCTGTACATGTAAGATACACGCGTGAATAAACGACATTTCTATTTCAAATTTGTTACATTGTTACCTACATTCACGCCAAATTACGCACGTATTTTTATAAGCAAATAGTTGTATGTAATTACTCCCCCTCTGCCGGTTAGCCGAGCCAGATTCTAACCCTCGTTGCTAATGCCTCTTTCCAATTCTAGGTTTTTAGTAATTATTTCTTAATATGCTTGATAATTTCTCATTCCTAATGTCTATTGAGCAACTTCCTCGCGTGCAGAGCTCGCCGACCTCAGCCCGACAACCGCGAGGGCAACGAGTTCTGCCTCGCCGTCCTCAATAATTTCTACAGCGACGGCGTCAAGTGGCACGATGTCGCTTGCAGTCACAGGAAGCCAGTCATCTGCGAGCGGGGTTAAACAAACACCATTCGCCCCCTCGTAGATTTTATTTAATCGAAACTCTTCACATTTTCCAATTCAAACCTGAAACTTGCACCTCTCATCGAGAACTCGTTAATACTAATTGGTTAGTCCTTCACGCCCGTGCACATGCAATAATTTTTAGTTAGTGGCTTCATGTGTTCGATGCATCGGTGTCGAACAGTGAGAATCTCGGTTTTGGAAGCGAAAATAAACTTGAAAATTCATAAAGATAATCCTTCGAGTATGATAAATCAAAAATTTTAGACCCGAGAACATGGTGTCGATAGAGGACTGCTCCGCTAGAAACGGATAAACGAATACGAACGCATTTCACTAACACCGCGAACATTGACACGTTCAAACGACCGCTCTTTATGTGATGAAATATTCCTTCAGCGGCGTACTAAGCGAACGCGCCGTAAACGATGTCGCATCTACGCCCGTGATTATGTATAGCAATGCTAGGTTTATGCTGGCACATTGATCGAACTGTTACAAACGTGCTATTTAATAATTATTTTTGTATTTAATTTGGAACTGAATAAACTGTTTCCTACTTGAGGCGAAGTTTTTCCTTTCTAATTCTAAGGCCTTGTTAGAAAATACGACGTAACTCTTCAGCATGGATCCCAAATGACGTGACGGATATATGAGAAAATTGAATCTAATCGTTGTTTGAGGATTTTTTACTTCTTTGGACGAACACCGGGAAGGTTAATCACATTACCAACGTCTGAAAAAACAATGTACTGCTGGGCAAAATCGCGAGGAATGTCTTAGTGCCCGCAGCTTCTAAGTCCTTGGTCCCTAGCTAATAGATAACACCGACTCGAGGCTGCACGATTTACATTCTGATTACGGAACACAAAGCAAATTCTTCATACTTGCGTGGCATCAAGGCATTAGCTACATGAATGAACGGACATTTCATAAGAACATGTGATTCGTAATGTAAGAATATGTGCAGACGATACGTGAACATACCTTTCACTAAAACAATACATCCCACTCACTTTCCAGACTAGAAACTGAGTTGAATGACATGGATTTTGTAGAATTCTTGGATATGAATGTAGGCAGCAACCTAACTGTTTTTAGCATTATAATCTTCTAGAAATTCCAAATATGGTTAGAAAGGAAAATCAAAGCCGAAACACAATTAGCACAACACAACGTAAACCAAAACCACTGCGTTAGAAATACCACGCTTTCAGTACTACCCTCAGCTCAGATTCTAGGCTGCAACTGGGAAATATTTCAAATTTTTTTTAAGGTCATTCATAAGTTCACCGCGTTATTATTTGTTACTATTTGAACACAGTCGTGTTAACACGTTGGACGTAATCAAACTTTAACACTTAATATCCTCAATTGCGAGTTCTGAACACATGAGGCTCGAACTCGTTGGACTTGCAAGGACATTTGAAATCGCCAAGTTAAGTTCGTAAAGATATCTCTGATTCACGTATTTATTTAGCAACGTACGAAAAATTACACAGTATGAACGTGGAAAAATGCAACTTGGTTTTTGTGAGGAATAATCCCGTCGAGTGACGTAAACAATAGTTCCGCGCGGATGTAAGTTGAAGTGTTATCTAACAAAGTATGGAGATTCAAACTAACTTTAGACCTCCTAAGATAAAACACGAATATCAGCGCTGTTGTAATTATTACAAATCGAAACATCACTGGGTTGCGCGAAAGACGCGCAGTAAAATACATGGTATTACAAAGAATAAATAATAAAATAAGCTACGGAACTTCAAATAATTCTTCTAAATATCTGGTGTGGTAGAGAAGCGCTATATAAAAAAGAAATCCCAGCTACGAGCATATGAAAACGCTTCCTCCGAAACGATCTAACAGAAATGCTCAAATGTAAACCCATCTATAGGGATTAATAATTATCCTTACAAAGAAACTCAGTACCGCCCCACGTAGAGATCATAGTTCGATCGATCTATAAGAAAGTATTCCAAAGTATTTCATAGTTCTATAAGAAAGTATTTCATAGTTCGATCGATCTATAAGGAAGTATTCCAAAGTATTTCATAGTTCTATAAGAAAGTATTTCATAGTTCTATCGATCTATAAGAAAGTATTCCAACATATTTCATAGTTCTATATGAAAGTATTTCATACTAGTTCTATAAGAAAGTATTTTATAGTTCGGTGGATCTATTTTGGAAAGGATTCCTAAATTAGTCATGTTAAGAGCTCAGCGATCAAAGGATCATGCCGAAGCCGAAGCTGGAGGCAGCGCCCAGCATGAGCCCTAAACCCAGCATGGCGGCCATCACGCTGCCTGCTCGCTCCGCATCCTTGCTGTCCGTCACGCGCCTGAAAACGTCCAGAATTTAGTAAGTAAAGATGCATTATAAATGACTTCCATTTTTTGAAAACTTACGCTATGTAATTTCAAACTAACATGCATGTGTTGATTTCAACTGTATCGTTCGAAGATTTTATTTCTGAAAAAATCAATAATAATTGTAACAAAAACATTTTAATGAAATTCACAAAAAGCAGCTTTCCGAACAGAAAAAAAAAATGAAATTTATGCAATCGACTGACCTGGAAAATAAAAGAAAAGGACGAACTCGGCTCACATAACAGAAATGTGGTTAACGATAATTGTACAATACGAACGATTTAGTGAAGCAAGTGCGAGTAAATTTAACACAAAATATGATAAAGTATTGATTACAATATCTAGATATGGGCAATCTTAAGTTTGTATTTCATAGATATTAAAATGAAGCAAACACAAACACGGAGGCTGGGCGCATATCAAATGTAGAGAAAAAATCATTGGAGTTTAATCGATACAAGGGAACCCAGACATTAACGTGAAAAAATCTAGGTAAGAGCGGGTTATGCCAATTTGAAAAACGAACTTCAAACAAAATACATATTTTGACTAGGAACCTTAAACATGAAATGAACTCTGCGGCAGTTGAATAACGTTAAATTTTGAATTGTCAACCCATCACGGTTACAAGTAAATAATTATAATATTTGAGATCAGTAACATTTTTATGGCTATAACAGTATTCAAGAACTGCAACTAGAGAGTAAGCAACACAAATAATTTGGAAAGAGCAACACAAGACGACCTCGGCGCATAGATGAAGCAGAGGGTGCCCAGATAGCCGTTGGACAGAGCAAAGAGCGCCATAACGAAGAAGTAGGCGACGTCGCTGGGGAAGAAGACGGGCACGTCCGTAGATTCGTGGTTGCACAGCAACAGCAGCGGGATGAAGATCACGCGCAGCCCCACGAACACGTACACCAAGCGGGACTTGGGGCCGGGCTGTGGGGAGAGGCATAATTGAGGTGAAGGGAACAAAGAATAGGATGAGGTGAGGGGAACAAATAATGAAGGATGAGGTGAAGGGAACAAAGAATAGGAGGAGGCGAGGGGAACAAATAATGAAGGATGAGAGAGGGGAACAAATAATGAAGGATGAGGTGAGGGAACAAATAATGAAGGACGAGGTAAAGGGAACAAAGAATAGGAGGAGGCGAGGGGAACAAATAATGAATGATGAGGTGAGGGGAACAAATAATGAAGGGTGAGGTGAGGGGAACAAAAAATGAAGGATGGAGTGAGGGAAACATTGGATGAATACAGGAGTTCGCGTCACAGAAAACAGAATAACGAGACCCCCGAAAAGCATTAAGAGTACAGGGAAAAACGGCCGCAGCGTCGAGCAAGGCTCCGTCAATAATAATGTCAATATTGTGTATTGTGATGAATGCAGAGAGAATTACAGCAATGTATTGTGATGACGGGCAGAGAGGACTACAGGAGGTAACTCGTTGATTCAGTTACCAAGCACAATTATAAAAAAGCGCGAAAATAGCTTATTCAGAGTGATCATCTCGACAGCTAACGCTAGAAAAGTGATAAAGACGATAATAAACTTCAACAAAAGATGGAAGAATGATGTATAAATGTAAAATATATAGCTATATGAATGGAGGAATTGTGTTTAAATCGAGAAATGGCGAATGAATGGGAGAATGGTAAATAAATGGGAAATGGTGTATAAATGGAAGAAAAGTTTACAAATCGAAAAATTAAGTAAAAAAAAACGGAAATGGCAGATAAATTTAAGAATGCTGTATAAGCGGGAGAATGGTGTATAAAGCAAAAAATGGTGAATAAATAGAAAAAAGGGAGTGAAATTGGAAGAAATGTGTAATTAAAAATAATTGCAAATCCTCAAATCCGGACTGCTGTCACCCACCCACTGAAAGTAGCCTCCAGCCTGACGGCCGACGAGGTCCCCGACGTTGAAGAGAAGGAACGTCAGTACGGGCTGGAAGTAAGTCTCTGCACAAACCAGACCTCAGGTATGAAAGATGAAGGAAACAGCTGCGAACACACTCAAATATTATGAATGATGTAAATAATTGCTGGTCAACAAAGGCAAACACTGTGTGATTATCAATTACTACACTCATAATACTGCTTTTAAATGCAAGCAAACACAGTGAGGCTATCAATTTAAACACTCATAATACTGCTTCTTAATACAAGTGAACCAGTGAGGCTATTAATTAAAACACTCATAATACTGCTTCTTAATACAAGTGAACCAGTGAGGTTATCAATAAAAACACTCATAATACTGCTTATTAATGCAAAGGATCACAGTGAGGTTATCAATTAAAACACTGATAATACTGCTTATTAACAAGCAAAAAAGATGAGTTACCAGCCCAGACGGGGTTGGCTGACGTCGAGGTGATCTTGACGCAGACAGCGGGAAAGACGGCGAGCGTCACGCCAAATACGGCAGCCACTGACAGACCCAGCGGCCAGATCTGTGAATTGATTAGGTTAAACTAGTGTGTCACGCTGATTCGTTGCAGAATTTGTATGTCACGCTGATTCGTTGCAGAACTCGTACGTCACGCTGCTCCGCTTTAGAACTAGTGTGTCACGTTTATTCTTTTCCGAAATCACATCAAACTGATTGTTTTAAACATCTAGCTGATAGATTCCCCAAAACTCAACAGTTTTTTTCGTTTCTAGAATACAGTTGACAATTCTCTGTTTAAAGAATTCTTGGCTATAGGCATCCAGTGTATGTACTTCCCAGCCCTCCCCACGCTACTTTTTATTCTTAAATTCTGTACAAAATCAAGCGTCAAGAGTCTGACAATCAATACAATGATAACTTGACATTATATGAATTACGCCAAACATTTCAATCAAGACCGATAAGAAAGCAATGCTGTACCTGCTTGAAGACCTTGGTGGAGTGAGCGACGAGCTCAGAGGGCTTGAGAGGCTGTTGCTCTTCCTCCGAGCCTAAGGGCTTCTCTGACACCGACATGGACGTGTAGTGTTGGTACATCTCCTGCAGGATCAGGAGGGGACGGCGGGGTCAATATAAAATGAAATACCTACATAAATAGATTGAATATTTTACAACTGTCAAGTGCTTGTTTGAAATGCCAAAACAATGAGTAACCACAGAACGGAAACTGAAATTACAAATAATGCATATACACAGAATATTTTACAACTGTCAAGTGCTTGTTTGGAATGCCAAAACAATGAGTAACCACAGAATGGAAATTGAAATTAAAAATAATGCATATACACTGAGATAAGGATCAACAGATGCAGGGAAGCAAGGCTCACGGTGGTGGTGAGGTAGTGGAGTGCCCCGATGGTGCCCACCATCACGCCCACGGCGATCAGGAAGTAGATGAAGGCCGAGGTAATGTCGTCCGCACCCGCGGCCAACGACACGATCCTGTCAAGTCAGACATAACACTTTAATTATTTCATTACAATATATTGGTATCCGTGGTATCCTTGGTATTTGTTTGGGACGTAGCAGTCCCAGGCCACGATGGATCGCCGCCTCTGATTATCGTTCATCCGCCCTCATTGGGGCCACCTGATGCACCTGTCTCTTATACACATCTAGATGTGTATAAGAGACAGGAATACATCTGGACCGGAGGCGTCGGTGGTGGCGGCGGAGGCTTCAGATGGGCTGATGGTTCCGGCGTCTCGTTCGCTGATTGGTCCCACACTGGAGGGTGAGTGGTAACCGCTATCCGAAACTATACGGAATAATAGTAAACGTCAGATTCCCATGCCTCCATCCTTGGCCGTCAAAATCTTTCGCAGGTGATTTCCAGCATGTACTGACTTGTTAACACGAATGAAATGAATGTTAACACCAATGAAACNGGCTTGAGAGGCTGTTGCTCTTCCTCCGAGCCTAGGGGCTTCTCTGACACCGACATGGACGTGTAGTGTTGGTACATCTCCTGCAGGATCAGGAGCGGGCGGCGGGGTCAATATAAAATGAAATACCTACATAAATAGATTGAATATTTTACAACTGTCAAGTGCTTGTTTGAAATGCCAAAACAATGAGTAACCACAGAACGGAAACTGAAATTACAAATAATGCATATACACAGAATATTTTACAACTGTCAAGTGCTTGTTTGGAATGCCAAAACAATGAGTAACCACAGAATGGAAATTGAAATTAAAAATAATGCATATACACTGAGATAAGGATCAACAGATGCAGGGAAGCAAGGCTCACGGTGGTGGTGAGGTAGTGGAGTGCCCCGATGGTGCCCACCATCACGCCCACGGCGATCAGGAAGTAGATGAAGGCCGAGGTAATGTCGTCCGCACCCGCGGCCAACGACACGATCCTGTCAAGTCAGACATAACACTTTAATTATTTCATTACAATGTATTGCTGGATATCTCCGTGGATACTCAAGGACCCTCTTATCGTAACGTTCAATCTGGCGTTTAGAAATACTGCCAGTGTTGAAACTCAATTCAATGATCAAGTAACAATCCTTTTCTAATGGTTACATTTGCTTTAACATTGCCAATCTAGATGCACAAATTTCAACAAGTTGAAAAGAATTGGATACATGGTCCAAACAAAATAATTCGTAGCATTCAATTTATCAATATAAATGATTATTTTATCACAAAAATGTGAACGTATAACCTAAGCAGCCACCAACCAACCATATCTCATCCTGTGCTGCCATCATCCAGAGCTGATCGAGTTGTAGAGTATTTATTAGCCTATGTTCCAATCTACTGCAATAGTAACTCTAGTTTTGGAATAATTCATAAGAATTATTTTCTTGAAACAATGTCGGAGTAATGCTAAGCTGACCTGGCGAGAGAGGCGAAGACGCCCCCGATGGCCTGGCCCGTCACGACCGCCGTCATGAAGCGCGGCGGGAACATCCCAGCCAGCCCGAACAGCCCGCCTTGGAAGAGCGCTGGTAATCAGCGCGGTTTCAAAATTGGATTTTAAGTAATGCAGCTTCTTTTCAAATGGTGCTCAAATTGTTCAAGACCTTACATTCAAATTCTGCATTGAATGCGCTGAAGCTGCAACTCCACATTCACACTGACAAATAACGTGACAAGCAGAAAAAATATAACTCAGTACTCACTGCAGTGAGTGACAGAGAGCGCATTTTCTCGTCGACGAAAACTTGAGGTCGCGGACGGACGGACAGACAGACGGACATGGCAAGCACAATGGTGCATTTTTTCCATAAATGAGAAAATGCGCTAAAAAGTCGTAAATGACGATCACAATTGCTGGCTCTAGTGTGTGATCAGTTAACACATATAACATTTTTCATTCGTGAGTGATCGTTAGATTATTTGCAAGTCTCGCGTAATCTTGAACATCAAATACTTAAATTTATTCGTAAGCATGTTCATTTGTGCAAGCTGTTTCATATTTGTTCGAATCTGGCACATCAAATGTTGAATAAGGGATTTAAAATAGACTCAACTTAAACTCAAATATTTCTTAAAGCTTCAAAGTATTTATTTACGATGCACGATATTGAGAATTGTACGCATTGATATTGGAATTTTGGCAGACGAATTAATATAACTTATAAGTTGAGATCTGAAGCTGTAACACCCTAAATACATGTTGTTACTATTTGTTGAATACATATGGCATCATTCACTCAATATTTATTGCATGTCTGTGCTCCTAAATGACAACTCGTCCTTATAATGTATTATTAATTTCTTAACTAAGGTTAAGTTCTAATTTATATTTTTAATATGTTCGTAGCTTGAAAGTTTCATCTCGTTCAAAAATCTCTAAATGACTAATGGTATTTCAATTTCCAATCTATAGAGTAATTTCATCAAACAGTAATGCATTCATCGACCATAGTATAAGGAAACATAAATTTGCGGTGATAATTCGAGTGCAAACCTTGGTCCGTCGTAGTTGCGCGGTGTCACACGTGCGCCAACCTTGTATCAAGCTAAGATGGTAGCAAAGTTCATGGATTTCCAAGTTGTCGAGGTCTGTTCGAATGGCAGGAGAGTTCTGAGTGCCAATAAAATCTGTGTAACTTCCGATGGTATTCGTGCTCACACTTCCTCCTTGTTCCCGTCGAGCAGTAGTTGCAATGGCAAGTTTTTTAGATTTTGTGTTTTAGGGCTTCAGATAAAGGTTTCATTTGGCAACATCGGCGTCAAACACTAGTTTATTAAATGCCAAAATGTTTATTGAGTTGAGTCAACTTGAGTGTTGAAAACTTGTGCAGCTCTGAAGCTTAGTTGTTGATCTGTATGCGGTAAACTTATAGGCTACAAAATCGTCAAAGGTGCGAATTGTAGGAAATTTAATCACTTCTACTGAGATAGGCTCCAGTTAAGCGTATTTACTAATATGTGCTGAATATCATTTGGGATTGGGCGTTGTTACTTCATTTGCATTTCAGTACGGCGTAGCCTATACGCTTAGCTAGCTTCCATCAGACCGTATTCCAGTCCTTGATTATTGGCTGTATCTATGATTATTCTATTAGCTGTATGATGTATCTAGGTATTTTATTCAATGTCATTTGTTTATTGACTCGTTCTGATATTCTTGATCGGCATTAATTTCATGATTTTCATCTAGGTAGCTGTAATAGAGCTACGGCTATTTTGCACAGCAACAGCAGCGGGATGAAGATCACGCGCAGCCCCACGAACACGTACACCAAGCGGGACTTGGGGCCGGGCTGTGGGGAGAGGCATAATAAGGCGGGGCTTGTGAGGGGTTGAAGTAAATGAATGATGAGGTAAGGGGAACAAAGAATGGAGGATGAGGTGAGGGGAACAGTGAAGGGGAGTGCGGGAGTGCGCGTCACAGAAAAGAGAATAACAAGACCTTCGAAGCGCATTACGAGTAGTGGGAAAAAAAAGAGCAAGGCTCCGTAGAGAGCTACGGTATTATACAATATTGTGTAATGTACAATATTGATTGTATTTATGATGTATTGTATTGATGACGGGCGGAGAAAGCAACAGGAATGTATTGTGATAACGGGCAGAATTGTATATAACATCAAGGAATGGTGAATAAATATGAGAATGGTGAATAAATGGGAAAAGTGTATAAATGGAAAAATAGTGTATAAATGGGAAAATGGTGTATAAATGGGAGAGTGATGTACAAAACGAAAAAAAAACGGAAAATTGAGGATGAATGTAAAAATGTTGTGTGAATAGTAGAATGGCGTATAAAGCGAAAAATGGTGTGAAATTGGAAGGAAGGTGCATTTAAAAGTAATGATAAATCCTAAAATCCGGACCGCTGTTACCCACCCACTGAAAGTAGCCTCCTGCCTGACGGCCGACGAGGTCCCCGACGTTGAAGAGAAGGAACGTCAGTACGGGCTGGAAGTAGGTCTCTGCACAAACCAGACCTCAGGTATGAAAGATGAATGAAGGAGCTGCGAAAACACTCAAATATTATGAATGATGTAAATAATTGCTGGTCAACTAAGGCAGACACAGTGAGGTTATCAATTAAAACACTCATAATACTGCTTTTAAATGCAAGCAAACACAGTGAGGCTATCAATTAAAACACTCATAATACTGCTTCTTAATACAAGTGAACCAGTGAGGCTATCAATTAAAACACTCGTAATACTGCTTCTTAACACATGCAAAAAAGAAGAGGTTACCAGCCCAGACGGGGTTGGCTGACGTCGAGGTGATCTTGACGCAGACAGCGGGAAAGACGGCGAGCGTCACGCCAAATACGGCAGCCACTGACAGACCCAGCGGCCAGATCTGTGAATTGATTAGGTCAAACTAGTGNGTGGGAACATCCCAGCCAGCCCGAACAGCCCGCCTTGGAAGAGCGCCCCGCAACCTGCGTCAGCAAGCTACGCGTTACTGGGCGGCAAATAAGACTATACGAGTTCGATTCCGTGTGAAAAATGATGTGGAAACAATGTTGATTAGGAGTTGATTTCGTTGAAACAAAGCTGATTACGAGTTGATTTCGTTTAAACAATGCTGATTATGAGTTGATTTCATTTAAACAATGCTGATTATGAGTCGATTTCGTTGAAACAATGCTGACTACGAGTTGATTTCGTTGAGAAATTGTTTAGTCGTTATTTCATCACCAGATGCCCAGCGGAGTGGCTGGGGACCAGCCACTTACCAAAGAATTACCGAAGACGTAGGAGGAGACGTTGAGAAATGACGCGTAATTTTTAGAAGAAGGATAACAAGTAGTTTCAAAAATCAGTAAAGAAACATAACGCAAATTCGGCTTCAGAAGCAAGTCTGAACGCTAGATTAGGGGTAGTTCCTAAGAATAGGAATATATTTACCGAGAGTATCTTGACGATAAAAAACCCACTGTTGAGCAGGACGATGAGGATCATAGTAACGACGAAGAAGGCCGTCTGCCAGCTATCAGAGTCCACCTTGACGAGGGCTGTGGTAATGCTGAAGAAAACCAGCATCATCACCAGCGACCACTTCAGTCGAAACCGCACAGGCAATCTGGTCAATCCAAAGAAACAATTAGAGACTGATTCATTACCAAGACCTGCAAGTTAGAATTATGCGTAATCCAAAAAAAAAAAACCTTGACATTTTCTGTGATACGCAGCTGTCCATCGCACCACATCAGTGAACTCTTCCGTACTTACCGGTGACTGAAGAGCGCGTTGACTATGAAGAGCTAGAATACAATCAGTGAACTCTTCCTTACTTACCGGTGACTGAAGAGCGCATTGACAATAAGGAGCGAGAAGTTCGTGAGCTGCGAGAGGCAAGCCTGCATGGGCGTGTAGAGCGTCTGCAGCTCCGTCTTCTCCGCGGCATCGCCGGCCGACATCGAGGCGTTGGTCGTGTTGCGGAACTTGTACTGCCAGTACTGAAACAGACTACTGTCAACACAAAGCAATATCGGGAATGACTGATGAATGATAACTTACACTTTCTGGAGCACATTCAGTCGTGAGAGTGAAACACTAAGCGCCAGTAAAAACACTAAGTAAGAACAAAACACTAAGTGCCATTTAAAACACTAAGCGAGAGAAAAACACTAGGAGCTAATGTTGTAGACAATTTATTGTTGTATTTTGTACCTAGTCTGAAGTTCTGAACTTTAATGTGTATTATCGATGAATAGTGTGTATATGACATCAAAAATAGGATTAGGCTTAAATAACACTAGCGTTTAATGACTTTAACCTACATCCCTTCACTGAAGCTCAGATGCCACTTTAAAATTTCCCGGAGCAAAACCAGCACTAACTTATCAGCCATATTAATTGAACTCTTCTTCGATTCATTATACATCGAATTAAATTGCATGCATCCATTGTAATTACTCCTGTATTTCGTGCAAATTCATGTAGAAAAAAGATTGCTATTGGAATTAGCAAAAAATAGTGACTGAGGAGCAAAAGGCACAGTGCATTGTATGCAATTATTAACCAATCACTAAAAATATTAAACAAATTAGTTATCCTAGGGTAAATGTGTGATGAGGACTCACCGACTCTGCTGTGATGAAGAAGTTCCATGGCAGCAGAGTGCCGAGACCGAGGCACAAGAAGCAGCCGTACACAACCGCGGACCTGCGGTGAACAATGTAAAACTTTAATAACTATGCTCCGAATAACAAGGAATAACGTAACGGACTATTAAAATTCTCGTCGGATTTCATAGCTTCAATTGTACCCAAAATCGGTACTGTTACGTTGGAAAATTATGCCTTTTATCAAAAGTTAAGGAAAATTATGCATTTTACAAAAGTTAAGCCACAAAATAACGCAAATTTCACGACTACGAAGTCTATATTTTTCAATTAATTAAAATGGAAATGAATTAACCAATTGAAGTTGAACCAGAAAAAAATGGAATTGTAAAAGTAAATTCGAATAAGTCTAAGATGGGATATCAACTTTTAATGCAAATGTGGAATAATTTGATATTAATTAATTCACCACAACAATAACACATAAGTTACAAATAACATAAGTAAAATTGTTTCAATTTTGAAGTCAATAGAGCTCGTTAAAAGCTACACTTACACGTCAAGCCACATGGTGACAAAAGCGCGCGCTAAACCCTACCACACGTGGTAAGAGAAGCTACTGTTTGAAAGTTGAACTACTCGTAAAACGCAACTTCAGACTAACAAACAACGGATACTTCACTAAGGCATCCACTAATGACTAAACATGAGAAGTCACACGTTGAAAATATATTAAAAGTAAATCTTTGTAATAGGACAAAGACCAAATGGTTATGTTCGAGTGTCGCACACTGTGCTGTCGCTAGAACTTCAGGCTCTTGGATGCGTCTGTGGAAGCTTATCTCGCTCAGTGAGATAGCATGAGGCCAACTAGAGTATGTTTTGACTGACCGTCCCGAATTTTGAATAATTGGAGTTATATAGGAACATCAGTTAAGTGCGCAGTACAGCACAATACTTCTATATGAAATTATGAAGAGAGTAAAGTTCCTTACAAAATGAAGGTATGGTTACAATTTAATCGCCCGCTTTCTTAACGACATATTGATCGTGACAATAAATTGACAAATTTTTTCCAGACGTGAAATAACAAAAATCGTGAACAGACAACATTCCACGATCCCACAGCCAACAACAGCACTGAATTACATAATCCAAATAGCTTTGATGAAATAGAGTTTTCCAAGAGGCAGTAAAATCGAGAGTAATGAAGAAAGCTAAATGCACACGCGAGAGAAAACACGCACACACGGCGAATGTAAACTTTGCTATTAGCTGCTCTATGGCCTACAACGAGGGGCAATTGCTTCACAATGGCGAACGCCGACACAAACGCGGGCAAGCAGTGACCCTCTTCACTAAATTGCGGAGTATTGGCTTAAATAGGCTTAGGACCTGCCACCAGAGGNTGGAAAGATCGGGTTCCAAAGGCCGGATCCCTTGTGAATCAAGTCACGAAAAGTTCAAGAATCGGCAACAGGCCATGGGCCTATTTCTTCAACGCCGAAACTTCTATTCTATTCTGAAATATACCTACATATAATCACTGAAAGCTAAATGATAGCAACACGTCCAAGACATCTGGAACGTCCAACAAGACATCTGAACAATCACGTCCCCAGCGACAGGCCAAAAAAAATAATGGTTTAAAAACAGACGAAAGCCAGCTATTAAATTATTCATTTGATTGCGCACAGATGATTGCAGTTATTATCCGATAATTCAAGTTGGCGAGCAGATTATGGAAAAGAAGCTGGGAGGACATTTACAAAACGAAAGCTACAATGCAAAAATAATGCAAAAAGAATCAGGGAGAGATATTTAACAGGGAAAGCGACATAGCAATTAATGGTCATTCACAAGCTTGCAATATTTAATGCTCAATTCGCAAAATCACGGTATGCGACTGTATAGATTTTAATTTGAAGATCTTAAAATTCTCTTAGAAGAGAATTTAAGTTCCTTGAGATGAATAAATAAATTATAGGGAAGAAATAAAAACAAGCACTTACAATTCGCATTGAACTCACCCTGACTTGGTCAGCATGACGATCACCCGTCACGGCGAGTGATGCAAATCACCACGTCCTGTGCAGGGACAGTGATGAATGCGTCGTAATAAACGCACGTAATGAACGCTGGTAATTACCTCACGTAATAAACGCACGTGAACGCTGGTAATTACCTCACGTAATAAACGCACGTAACGAACGCTGCAGTAATTACCTCACGTAATTAACGCCAAGAACGCAAGCGATGAGGGCTCATTCAGCCGCTACTCGTATTATCAGCCGCAGTTGACGTCTAGGTACAAGAGAACGCTAAGTGCACAAATAATTCAGCAGTTCTTACTACTACGCAACTATACGCCGACAAACGACGAGTGTAGACGTTTACTTTAATTCAATCAACAGAGAACGTATAGGGGCTTGGCATAAATAGACACACACTACGGGGTTAACTACGTTCAATTATCCACGTACGACGACCACTTGAAACGACATTGTACAATAAAAAAGATGTGATAATAAAAATTCTACACCGCTCAAAGAAAAAAGATAATGCATGCAACAGACGAATTTTTCTGTGCGAGACATATTAAAATATACAATCGAAACCTAGGCACGCGTCTGACTAACTGAACTGTGGTGGATGGCAGTTTTATGGTATTTGCACCTCAACACATGAGCTTTATGTCATCGAATGTTTTAAATGCCATAGAGAAAATAAATGTTTATCGGGCATATCAGTAATGCAGTTACTCATTTTACGAATGTACTTTCTATGTGAGAATTGAAGCCGGAAGGCATAAAAGTTCGTTGTGGGGAGACATCAAAATTTCAATTGATGCGTGCAGAACGAGCTTCTGTAATTATGATAGGCAGGCAATCTGGCAATAATCCCAATATAATTTGAATGACTAAAAACGATTTATAGACTACCTATATTATACTTAATATTGAGATAATATACTGCGCGGAAGACTTCAGAAAATAGAAATTCTATTTCATGTATATTGAACTTCCGAAAAGGTAATATATTTTAATTAAGACTTATCACATTAACAATAACCAAACATATGGTTTTGACATCAAGACTTGGGTACATGGAGTTACCATATAATATAATCCAGATTCATAACCTTACTAGGCTGACTGTGCCCATAATATACGCCTACGATCATATTATCTGAGTGACACGATAAAGAGCTTTTTTCTGTAAAAATATATCGGCGCAGATAGCACAATCAATTAATGATAAGATACAATATGAGCATCAATTTAGGTATCGTTATTATAAGAGGGCGCTAATATCTTCACTACGCATGCTGTTAAATAAAAAGAATTCATAGGACATAAAATGAAGCTCGAGCAGGCAGCGCAATGTTCAACAAACAGTGTTTGACAACACTGTTCACACATGTCAAACACTGTTCACAGTGTTTGACCTCACATGTCGTCCAACACATCCGCATGTTTCCGTAATTTTGAACCGCGCGTCTCCGATTTCCAAGATTTTTCCTAGTCAATAAACTCGCCCAGCAACATTTCTGAACTGCGTCCAAAATTTGTTCATTGTGTGTTCCTATTCTACCATTCGTACATCAAACGATTAATGACTTTAATTATGAATTATTTTGGCAACGTTGTTGTCACTGAAATATGAGCGCATCCGTAGAAAATGACAATAAAATTTGTAAAGTGGCGCCTTTAAATCGCCTATAAATCGCCGATAAACCGCCAATAAATCGTTTCGCGGAGCCGTTGTTTGAAGCGACATAGTCTGATCTCGAAGCAGTGCGACGCATTTAGGCTAACCGGCACAGACGGCGACAAGACTTCACACTCAAACATATATAAACTCATGTCCAAATAACAATGCTTGTTAGCGCTTTTGTGGGTCACCCTGATGCAGTTTGGCCCGGCGAAGAAGAGCATCAGAGCGATGTCCGCTCTCTGCTTGTACAGCGTTCAAGAAATGGTCACTATTTGGATAATATGGTAGATTCATTTTTCTGACTGTACCTAATCATCGTTATTAACTCAATTATATTTAACCCAAACACACAATTGGAAAAATAAAATACGTAAACGCAACTGATGCGCCAATACAGAGTTTGAGTTAATTTAGGAGATTGTCCCAACAATTATAAAGGAATATATGCCTTTAGAACGGACTAAATTTTCATATATATGAAAGAAGCACTACAACNTTTAGAACACTCATTGCTATGCCTATGCATGACAAATCTAGTATAACCCCAAGGTTCTTTTAAATCATTATTTATTTTGCAATCTGCATTGAAATTTCACCATCATCTTAGTGAATTACTTCACTAAGGTTTTACTTCATACATTACAAATTTACAGACACTTTTTTTCTAATTTTCATAGTATGGAGCAAAACGCTCACTGTTCTGTCTCCAGGCACTAAGAGACACTGTCACCATCCCTCTGTGGCACTCTGCTAACGAGTGCCACGCATGCCACGCGCTAGGCTTAGCTCGGTGCCGGCAGCAAAACTAGCCAAGAATAACACACGGTTTTCAGATAGCTCGTGAGTGGTCCAAGCCACACTCATGCGTCACATTTTTTATATGAAAACAGATTCAAAGTTACGTATAATAGTATTAGAATGGCGTGTATTTACAATACGAGGTAAAATTACAAGTGCGTGCCGATAGTCATCCCACTCGATTAAAAATAGCGGTTCTCCAAGTAAAATTGTTAATTATGAAGGAGGTATTTTCGGATCAAAATCGCGTGTTCAGGATGACAATATTATGCTACTGTTGATTCCCGAGATCGATACATTGATGCGAAGACAAGAAAAGTCTCCAGCTTCTAGATGCTGCAGTTCACCACAAAATAACGAAATATTAAATATTGATAAATATGACTCTCATATGACAGCTGGTCTTCGTTTGCTCTAAAGACTGAATTATCCCGCAACGAATGAATATTTATTTGAGAATCATAACATTAATGAATCCTTCATGAATCATGACAAAACAAATCACAATTGAAAATATTACTAGAAGCGGATCAAAAATTACTCAGGATGGTCTCGAGTAGGACGACCACGGGTCGGTGATACGTTATTTAAATTGAAGAATAATTGTAATAATACAATAAACTCCTGAGGAAATTTAGTTAAATTTGTGGTACAATGTTCCCTGTTTAATGATGTTACACTGCTTCATATGAAATTAACGTGTAGTCGATCGAAGGTAAAAATGCAAAGCAGTACAATTAGCAACCATCGCTGACTGGATTTCGAGGCTGCGGTGATTATACAACTACATTAATTAACAGTCGACGTGAATTCACACATCGAACAGAGGGCTGTTCGATAAAAAAATAAAACCTTAATCCAACGCGCAGCACCGGCAAATTCGAGGCATTATGTGATCATTTTCACTATCGCCGCGAAGAAAAAACATGTCCGAAACAGTACTTGTACTCACCTGGGAAAACTGTGTAATCTTGGCGACCCAGCAAGCAGGGGCATGAGGTCGTCATCTTCGCTCGGCACACGTCGCGCTGCCGCTTCTGCCGGTCGCGCCAGCAGCGCCGTGTGTGCGGAAGGCATTGCCGAGTCCGGCGCAGCAATCGAACGCCACTCTTGACGCACACGACAGACAAACTTCCAGGGAAAAGCTAAAGCCTTAAAAGTCCACCCGGTTATGGACCGCAGATTAATATTGGAATAATTATCTTGAATTGTAGCTTCATTATCATGAAGAGTATCGATAGTATATTTCAAAGATTTCTCTTGAACGGAAGCGGGGTGTATTGTGATGGACACAAGGCGAGACGTGAGGTCGTCCGGATCGATGGCGCTGTGATTGGCTGTGGTGCGATGTCGGTTGGTGGTTCCCGACGACCCATAACTTTGTTGTGCTGCCTCACCAGCATCTCGAACGTTTGTATTTGACTTACGAAGTCTTAGCCATCTGCAATTAGGAAATTAATGAAGGATTGGAGTGTTGAAAGCTGCTGTTGATATTAAAATACAATCCTGTAAGTAACAGGACATAGTATTTGAGGTGGTAAACTGGTAACACAGGTTCTACAATATGTACCTACACCAACCACTCCGAGGTGTGAAAGATGTAAATTCAGCATTCGATAGCTCCATGACTATCTTTTTCTTAATTTTGAGGAATATGAGCCACAGAAACAGGCCAGATAAGAAAATTAATACAAGAAGAGTGTGAAAAAGTTAATTAATAAAAAACAAATTAATGTGAAAAAATTAATTAATGTGAAAAAATTAATTAATTAATACAAGAAGAGTGTGAAAAAATCCACTATCGGCGATATTGAGATGATTGCAAACCAAACCGTGCTCTTCGTCATTCGTGCACGCAATAGGTTTTCTGGCGCGGCACACAGCAGTTATTAACTTGCATGGTTACCGTAATTAACCTTGTGTTAGCAAGAACTGAACGTTAGTGAGTGGCTCCAGCAAACACACTGAACTCCTATAGTTCTCAAAAGGCAGATTCACACAGTTCTTGCATTTCAGAACTAGGTAACGTAATCGTGCACGAGAAATCATAGGATTCGAAAAGAGTATCATGTAATGAGTGTAATAACGATATCATACGTTCACGTTAATGAACACGCATGATAATAACTGCTGTATAGTCATGGCAACGGTCATCACACAACTGAAAATTATTACATTTATTAAAGAATCGTGTAAAAACAGGCTACGGTTCGCTGTTGTTCACAAGAAGACTTGTGTGTTGTTCCTCTAAGCTTCGTGTTACGTTGTCGTTGAATCTTAATTCGACGAATTTTCGTCGTTGAATCTTGATTCAACGACAATCTTGATTCAATACTTTACGTTGAATCTTGATTCAACGACGAACGAAATAATATGATGACTAAGCGGTGGAGTAAAATATCAAAACCTAAACCGTAATACCACAGGCTTAAAAATCGATTATTTGTAAAATTCGCTGCAGCTAATAGTGATGCATAGCAGAATCAAGCACGTTCTAGCAAATTGTAATCTATAGTAAATCGCAATATTCGTTGCAGTACAACACTCGTAGGGACTAGATTAAAGCCTCTGTGTCGAAACTTACCGAACTAAATCGAAAGAGGTCAATAGCTGAAAGGTTTCGTTGATAAGAGAGGGATCGACGGCGGAGAGCATGATCTATGTTTTCTGTTCGTTTGTAAAAACCGAACGCTGTTCAGTGATGTGGCGGTACGACTTATGGTCTATCTTAAATTTCAAAACTATGTAAATTATTTCCAAGTTAAACCGCCAATCACGAATAAATATTATCTTCATTCGTTCGTGCATTCAGGTTAATTATTTCCAAGTTGAATCGTCAATCATGAAAAAAAATAACCTTCGTTTGTTGTGCATTCAGGCAGGATCTCTCAGACAAATGGTTTGTAGACAAGAGAGCCAAATTGGACGATGTTTTCACTAGTGTAGATTCAAGCAAAGTGATGAAAAAATTACTGTAGAGGACCTCGTACAAAATACCGTGGAGACGTAAATCAAACAGATGCTATCTCATCAAAACACAATAGAAATGCTTCCGTAACTTGTGCGGGCCAATATCAGTAAGCCAATCGATTGTACGGGCCAATCGGTTGTTATCAGGGCAGTTTCGTTCTCGAGTCCAGTTTGTTTAGGTTTAAAAAAACATTCATTTATCTATTAATGATTATTTAAAGAACAGATAATTGTGACCGAATCCTACCGAGAGATCTAAACGTAAACAAGTAAGTCTTCAAATTGAAAGCTTGTACATGTTAAATAAGTTTTAATTATGCAATTATGAAATTCAAAAGAAAGCAGGTAATGTAAACATGTTATAAGACAGGGGAATGTTTATAGGTAATTATTCCTTCCTAAGAGATCAGAAGTTCGTAATCCTACCCGAATTCCAAGATTAATTGATTGGCCGCGATGGGCATGGCAAATCGGATATAATCCAACATTTTCTTCTAATTTCGTTACTGTGTCAAGTGGTCCAACCTAATTCATCCATAAAAGTTGAAATTTCTACCTATTATTCGTGTAACTTTTCATCTGTAGTTGCTATAAAAATCCATTCAGTAACGCGTACCGGGAACAATGGCATAAAGGTTAATTAGATAATGTACATTATACACAGAGCATAACGTACCGTATATATGAAAAACTTTTTGGAAGAAGCCTAACACACATTTAGGATTTAGCACAGACTTTGATACTTTACTTCAATGAAAAATTCTTTAACATTTAGACAAAAAGAATTAAATTTCATTACAAAAAAGATTTATAAAGCCTTATTTAGTTATATTTAAAAAAAGTTACTAAAATATGCTGGAGAAACTAAAGAGTAAAACCATATCAAGAGAGATCAATCGTATATATAGGTACATGAAAAAATAGATAAATCTTACCTGATTAAATTCTAAATCTTGAGTGCAAGGTTCAGTTTAGTTATCACTGAAGTAGGACATTACAAAAACTTATAAAATTGGATATTTTTACATAAATAAAAACCATAAATTAGTTTCTGCAAAATAAAACTGAGTCAGCAGCAAATGGCAGTCATGTATAAAAACTTCAATAAAATAAAATCATGGTAATGCAACAGGACTACAGGAGTTGGCACAAATAAGCTTTTATTTGCTAATATTATCATACATGCCCCAACACTACATTTCTTCAATTCAAAAAGCAATTGTTTATCCCATGTAACTTGATGGAGTGAAAAAACTGAACGGAAGAGACATGTCCTTGCAACATTGCAAATATTCAGCTCACTTTATCATATACCATACTACAAGAAACTTGAATAGAACAAAAATGCTATCATACAATGCTCATTTATTCCCAAAATGAAGTAAAATTCAAATGGAAAATTTTGAATAGGAAAATTTTTCACATGATAACTAAATTTCACCATAATTCCAAGGCATCTAATGTTTGATATTTCAAAAAATACTCCCTTTTATCAACTTTGTTGGATCATAAAGAAGTTAGTGACTACAAACATCCTAAACTTGTGCTCCATATTTAAAGCTTCTTTTGCACTATTGCATCACCTGCTCAAAATTTGGATACCTAATAAACTAGACGTAAGAACTCTTCGATATTAAACATTCATAGATTTTTTAAATAAACAATTAAATTTGAAAGAAGTCTGAGTTAATTTCATTCAAAATTACAAAAACACTTCATAACTTTCAAATAGTGCATAGTGTAGCTTTCAAAATATTACTCACACATTAAACCCAGCTGATATGAGAAACTCAAGGACAATCAATATGAAATTTTAGCTGTTGGGCTTTGCAATAGAAGTATGTGACGGATGAAGGAATTCAGGAAAAAAAATTGGTGGAAACCTACAGTTGTGGTTGAGAAAGTAGATATATTCCCTGCCTGTGCAACACGATATATAGGTAAATACTCTGGTAACATGAGTGGCTAAATTCCACTGACATTAAAAAAAGCCTAACTATAAATATTGCACACAGCTCTCCATGAATGGGACAAAAATGCCCATCACACAGACAATCTTACCCTTTTCAGGATTTTATAAGTCATACTATTTTCTGGAGTCTTGCAGCTCTAATATGACATCATTTGGTGGGTATTAAATCTTGAGTCAGCAAAGGCTTGCAATGCAAAGTATAGGTATATTGGTTAGATAAAAAACATATCATGGTCAGCAAATGTGTCATTTCATAAAATATTTTTAACATAAGCAATTCAGCACCACACTCTGCCAAAACATGTTGCACATTGCACAATGACTGCGCCCAAAACAGTTCATTGATGATCGCATCGATGATGACACACTGTATTTTAACTACATACGTGGTTCCTTTAACAAAAACATCAAAAATACATTATCACATGCCTGACTTAAATGCTTTTTTAGCTAATGAAAAGGTTCTTATTGCTACTTTGACAGAAAAATTAAACATTTGCAATAATATTTTTACTTGACTTGGAAATCAAACTAACAGTTTGGCAAATCATGGTTTTTGCTAGTACTTGTATTGAAAAAATGAAGATTTGGAATAATGTAATTTTATGATTTACTAGCAATTGAAGTCATCGTTTGGCATTTGCATAGGCAAGGAATATATCTACTTTTCATGCAAGGACTAGAGCTTTCCTGCCATTTTCAGAGCAACAAGATTCTGGCTAGATAAATTACCACCTATGTTTCGTTAAGGAAACTTGGAAAAATGCACTATCTAGCTGCAAGATTCTAAGTGTATTGAAAATTTGTCACTTTGGTATCAAGTGATTAAGTGGAGATATTTTTTAAGAACCAGTTCATTTTAATGTTTCTTCCCAGTATTTAGAGAAAAATTTCCGTGACTCTCCATGACCATTAATATAATTTTCCAAGACTTGTATATGACAGGTTTAGCATGACTGAAAGACTAACCGTGCATATTCTATCATCTCCTACAGTTGATTAATAGCAAACATGTAAATTCATAGAGCAGGCAGACACAGAGGAACAGAAATGACACAAATCTGAAAATGAAGCCCACACTTTTATTATTATGAATTCAATAGTGTCAAATCACAACAAATATTGAGTTATGCACACAATATTGTATATGATAATGTCAATACAGTTCAGAATATGATTCAACACCACTACCCTAACATTTAACTGGCAGCTCTATTTCATCAACTTTTTCTTTAAAGTTCAGTTCAAGAGTGTCTAGCTCCTGTTGCTTTGTTTTCAAAAATTGCCTCATGGCGTTGAACTTAGCAATAATTTTCAAATCCCCCTTTCTTTCCATTGCTTCTGCATATTCATCTGCTGTTAATGCCCTCCTCTGTACACCTTTTCTTCTTCTTCAGTTCATCTAGCTCATCCAACAGAGCATTCCTCTTCTGGGTCTTCTTTTGTTACTAAGCTTTACATCTTCTTTTGTTACAAAGCTGGTCAGTTTGCCATTGGGGTTGGCTTTGACAGTGGATAGAGGCCTGCTCTCCATCTCTACATTCACAGTGGCAGTAGACACTACAGTGCTGAGTTTGGAGCAAGAAGCTGCAGCAGCATTGCCATCAGCAAACCACAAATTAGAAATGCATGACTGCGCTTTGCTTTTCTCTGCACTGTGTTGCTTAGCTAACTTGGTGTGTTTGCTGCCTTTGTTGTTCATGTTGTTGTTTATTGCGTCCGTCACGCTCGCCAGGGGGGGGGGCGGCTCAGGAGGTTGGCGGGGAACTGGCACCGGAAGAGGGGGGAGATGGGCAAAGGCAGGGAGGGTGGCCAGGAACGCCGCTGCCTCCACGGGGCTGTCCCAAAACGAAGAGACGCTGAGGGACGTTAAGAAGACGGGGCAGGCGAAGAGGTGCTGAACGGACTGGAGGGGATCCCTGCACACCGGGCAGGCGGAGCTAGGGGAGCGTCCGATCCTAGCGGAGCAGGACGTCAGGGAGCTGCAGTATCCCGAGCTGAGCTGGGATAGCGCTGAGCGGTAGGGACGCGGGAGTTAGGCCTCAGCCGATGCTATTGCCGGTGGAGGAGCAGCGAGGACGGCGTTTATGGCGTCAGTCGCCGCGACGTGGGAGGCGATCGCCCTGCGGAGAGCCCGTTTGGCTTCTCCGTATGCACCAGCGGGTAAGATGACATTTGCCAAGACTGGTGTGACAAGGTGGCCGAACCTCAACTGAATGGAGGCTTTCATGGGGCGGTCCCCAAGTGGAGCAGAAACAATGCATAATGAGGTATGGGAGGGCTGGAGGACGCTGGCGAGGAACTGGGCGCAAGCCAGGTCCAGGTGCGCTAACAAGGGGAGGAGGACGCCGGTCTCCTGGTGAAGATGGGAGATCGGGGCCATTTTGAGGCAGCTGGTGGCTAGTCTCAGTGCAGTGTTTTGAATTGTTTGCAGACTGGTAATTGCTGTGTGCGAGGCAACAGGGCACCAGATGGGGGCCGCGTAGTTGAGGATTGGGCGCGTGATGGTTCGGTAGGTGGAAATGATGTCCTCCTTGGAGAAGCCCCAGTTGGTACCAGCTAGGGCTTTTAAGATGCGTAGAGAACCAGTCGCTTTCGTGGCTATGGCTCTTGCATGGGGGGAGAACGTGAAGTGCGTATCCCAGGTGACGCCTAGGATTTTGGGGGTTTTGTCCAGGGGATGATGCCGTTGCAGATTGTGGCAGATGTAGAATTGATGGCCGGGATTGCGCGAACACGTGCGCCAAGTGAATCAATTTTCATTACATTGCGCGAACTGTGCACAGCAATAGATTAAAAAAAGTGAAAATACGCGGGAAAATTCACCGAAAACATACATCATCCTGAGTGTGGTGGCAGATGGGTAGTATCAGGATTGGTACGTACCTGGGGTGAAGAGCGTGACCGATGACTTGCCAGGAGCCACGGCCAGTTTCTTGGCCACCGACCAATAAGAGGCTGAGCTTGCCGTTCTTGGCCACCGAGCACGGCGAACTCAG